CAACTAACTTTCAGGTTTAAAGATGGATTCTAATTTATTGGAAGATTTTGAAAAATTAATATTACTGATATCAATTTAATTCTTTGAGTGAAAAAACTCAAAATTTATAGAGTCCCATTTTCCCTTGAATTTTAATTTTGATTTATTTCTTTCATAATTTCTATGCATTTCATCAATCCCTTTTCTTTCATCATCTCCAATAAATTATAACAGCATTTCTATATACTTACAATGAATTAATAAAATATTAAAAATTCTTTATATTTTCTCATCTTATAAATTGGATACTTATATTCTGCTTATGCGAAATTAATTAAAAAATAGGATTCTTCTTTTGCTAATCAGTTCAAAACTGTTTCTGATTCAAGGTTCATAGAATTCTGTCTTTATTACGATTAAAAACCAAATAAACTAATTTTTAATAATTGCTAATCCAAATAAACTTAAAATATGATTACAGTTAGTATTTATAATTAAAAAATGTAAAGTTAGTGGAAAAGGTGAATTCTTAGTGAAAACATTATTATCCAAACTTATAAATAAAAGTCAGGAGGTAAAATTAAGATGATGTCTATAGAAATTTTTCTATGTTCCAATTACAAGCATAAATTTCATTCAAGTTATATGGGATTATTAATTTTTAAATTACTTTAATGATGAAAGAAGAGCAGTATTTTAATATTAAAATAGTAAATTGCAACTATTAAATATAAGAAACAAATAAAATTTAATGTAGGCCTTCTTAAAAAAGTGAGAAATAGGCTAATAAAATAAAAATTTTATTTATTTTAAGCCAAAATATATTTCTGTCATTAGAATTGAATTTTATTTATAAAACATATTACTTCCGAAAACTTTATAAATGTAAAGAAATAAAATAACAAAAGGATTGCGTCTAAGACTTTCAGTCAAATAAGAAGTAGGCCTTAATCAGGCATCATCTATGATACTAAAAAACTTGATAAGGTGTCTCCAAAGGGTTTAAAGGTGGTTATTCTTGGAGCAGGTGAATAAAATGATTTAGACAAATTTGTATTGAAACCATCCCCTAATAAGTTTAGAACACTATCTACTAGAAAAACAAATGTCATCAATGATAGTTCTGTCACATAAAGTAGATCCACTCATACAGAAATTTTAAAGTACTTATTTCAAACTAATCATTTAGAAATTCACCTGTTGTGCAAGACTTAACTAAGAAAATACCTGTTAACATGACCAAGGATAAAGTAATTACTTTATTTTTTTAGACTAGGATGACTTATACGCAGAAACTGTTTATTTGAAAGATATGATAAACAAGTTAACTTCAGAAAACTATGATCTTAAAGCAAAAATGAGATTTTTGAATAAAAATACAGAGCGAATGTAAACTGTTGTGCAAAATGTGGGTGGGTATTTGCAGCAGAAATACGTTGCTGATAAGTAGGATTTAGCTTTGATGACTAAATTGGGTATAAGTGAAGTATTAATCTTAAAATTATTTCATTTAGAATTTATTGACAATAACTTTAAAGAAACAAATCAAGGAGTTAAGAACTTTGATAAAATAATAGAATGAAGAAATATCAAATTTGAAGCACGATATCAAATATACTAAAATTTAAGAATTGGAAAAAGAAATTAATGTATTTTAAGAAGAAACCCTCAGATTGAAGACTCTGTTAGAATAGTCTTAAAGAAATGAATAGATCATTTAAATGACTCATGATTTTAATTAATTTGAGCACAAATTCTACCTTTAAATGCAAATCATAAATTCCTTAAAACAAGAAAACTCATTTTATTAAGGCCAAATCACAATTGAATAGGAAGAGAAGTTTAAACTCCAAAATCATATGGAAACTAATTAAAAACTTCTAAACAAATAAAACTAAGTGATTGATGATCTTCAATAAACTCTCAAAGATAAATCAACTTACATTGATGGACTTTAGCAGGAATTAAATTCATATAAAGATATAAATTAAAATCTAATCTCAAAAGCGAATAAATTGGACAATAATCAATTAAGAATAATAGGATTGATAAAAGTTGAATAAGAATTAAGAAAAGAGTTGTAATAGAAAACAAGAGATATAGAATATTTAGATAAAACAACAACTGAGTTGAAATAAAAATTAAATGAGAAATCTTCAATTGAAGCTAAAATCAAGGATCAATTATAGGATGAATTGAAAAAGCTTAAAATTGCATATGAGGAACTAGATGAAAAGTATAAACACTTGCTATTAATAAATGCTTAATCTAAGTTAAAAGAGACAGCTCCATCTATATAATAGAAGTAAGCTCAAACAGCAGCAACTGTTAATTTAAAGACTTAGAGACCATTAAATTAAAATAATACTCCGGACAGTATCAATTAAGATAAAAATTAACAGTAATAAAAATTTAAGGTTATCAAAAAAGATGATGTAGATCATTTAGGATTTGAATTAAATTATAGATTGAGAACTAAAAAAATAACTTTGGCAGATGCAATTGAGAAATATTTATTTGACAATAAAAACAAGAAGACTGGAGAAATAAAATTAAAGGAGATATCAGAAAGAATGCAGAAGGAACCTTTCTTATTAATTGATGAAGATTCAGCTTTATTGGTAGCCAGATATCTTACAGAGGATAATTCTTAGGAATTCGTAGTTTATAACGATTAGTTGAATTAATCTACTACTATTGTAAGAAGTATATTGTAAAAATTAATTGGCAATTACGAAATTTTAACAATTGAAATTGAAATATAAAAAACAAAGGAGATAACACAAGTATATTTTTGAAATTGATCATTAGGTTATTAGTAAGTATAAAAATAGCTTGAAATAATATTTTGATTAATTAACAAGTAAGTATGAAGGGTTATTAGAAAGAAAGCAAATAGTTGAAACTTTTGAATATATGGGTATCGATTTAACTCATGATTAATATGATTTCTTATTTTTGAGATTATTCTCTTATTCCAATAATACATAGATATTCCCTTACATAAGAATATTTGAGATTTTCTAAGAGATTTAAATAGAAAGAAGTAAATATTAAATAATAAGGATATAGTTGATAGCGATAAAAAGAAAAAGTCAAGGAAAAAAGAATTTAAAGATTAAGGTGATAATAAAAATAAGAAGGTGGAGATCTTTACAAGAAGACAATCAATGGAATTAGCGAATTGAGTAAATTTGTATTAATTTTTAATTTATTGTTATCAAAAAGAAATCAAATTACTTCTGACAACTATTCCACTAGTTTATCAAAATACAAGCATCTTTCATTCTCATTGATATATTCCCATTCCTACCAAAAGTTATCAAAATAAATTCTAACAAACCCTATTTTACTATCTAATTCAAATTATCCCAAATCTTTAAAATATTCATTCATCTGTAATGGAGTAATTTACTGACTATTCTTATAAATTTAATAATGATAGGACAATGAGTTCTCATGTTTACACATAGAATCTAGTCTATTGGTGGGTAATTTGAAGTAAACCAAAGAAATAGTAACATTTCTACAAAAACAAAACTCTTCAATATCCTTGCTGAGAATACTTACTAAATCTTTGGCAGCATTTTGAGATAGCTTAAAGTCATTATCTTCAATTTTGATTTGGAATTTATCATCAAATAGCTTTTCAGCAATGAATAATTTAAATTATCCTTTTTCTAAACTTAATTATATCCAGCCAAATACGTCCTGTTGAATTAATTAATCTTATTCCACTTGAATATTGAAATGATTAACTTATAAGGGATAGTTTATTTTTATTTAATTTAACTTTAATACGATGTTAATATATCTATCTTCGTCAATTTAGATTGTATACAATCCCAATATCGCAGGCAACAAAGTATTGCCATTTTTTTGCCTACTATATTCGGTTTGATAGCGTTTACAAATATTCATCAATCCTCCCCCTTTTGTTAAAAGGAGTTTGTGTTATTTAGAAATGATTTCAATAGAAAAGTAATTGTCATAAGTTAAGAAAATGGGTCCATAAGACTAAGGTAATTTGGAATTGACTATTTTTTTTGTATTCTATTCGATTCTTAAACTAGATTTGAGTTGATTTAAATCAATATTTAACACTTAGCTAAAGAGGTGGATCAGAGTCTTGCTTGCATAACTGTAACAGTTTATAACTCTCTTATAGCAAATGTTATTGACATAATCCTTTAAACAGAGATTCTATAGATAATCAAATAATAATACATTATAATTTTTGTATTTCTAATCCAAATCTTTAAAGTCATCTTGCAAATATAGCGAGTATTTTGTGATATGAGTAAAGTTAAATGGCTTTAAAGATTTCAGTAACGCTTACTTCTCTTCAATACAATGATTAATAGCATTTTTAATGGAAAGTAATACAATGAATAATTCTTAGTTATTCTTAATCAGTTTGATTTGGCTTCCGAAAACTGAGGAGACCGTGATGTCTGGTTATACTTATTTGTCATTAGGCACAGCTCTTACTGTGTATCTGAGCTTCTTGTTATTGCACACACTAATTTCTAGTCCAGAATCCATACTCATCTATTCTATACCATTGTACTATATTATAATATGCTTTTTGTTACATCTTCCTTTTGTAATAGCTTATCCTTTAATTTACAATTTTGATTTTTCTTTTTCTTTCCCATAATCATAGTATAGATGTACTTTTTGACAATCGGATCATTTATTCTTATGAAGAAAAGTAGTATACCTCCCAAGGGGTAGATGATTGGAAAAGAATAGAAGTGAGTATCATCATTAAAAATTAATTAACCCCAAAATATCAGACATGAGGGAATCATATAAGTGCCTAGAAATACTGATGTGTAGAGTGTATTAACTATAATGAACTCTTTATGATATTTCTAATGGAATTTTTCTGAATCCTTATTATAAAGAGTGGTTTTGAATGATGATTTTTCGTTGATTATGAAAACAAGCAATATTAAAATGCTTAATGTTATGATTACCAAGATAGCACTGAAAGAGGTGGAAAAATTAACCATCATTAGACCGCAAACACCGACAACACTAATTATATCTTATTGATACTTTATTTTGACATCCTAAACAAAGAACATAGTCAAAGTGAATAGAAATGAGAATATTAATGAGGAAATCTCCATGAACTTAAAGTACTTATTAAAGTTATAGTCCTGTGTTTTGAGTGAGCAGTATAGATTTATGGGGAAATAGATGTTATAGAGGGAGTATTAGGAGGAAAAAAATATCTCAATGAAGCCTAGGAATGAGCAAAATTATTAGGATATTACAAAGGCACCTCCAGTCGGATGATCATCAAAACTAATATAAAATTGTGCAAACAGCATCAGAAAAGTAATAATCTAATAAAATACTGTTCAATACAATCTAAGCTATGGTCATTCTTTAAATAATACTCCCTGGGTTTTTGTTTAATCTGGGTGTTCTGAAGAATGTCCACAAAATTAGAGAACAGCCTGTCATTGACAAAAGGCATAAAATAATCACAAATACTCTAGCAATCAAGTTTTCTGATAATTACATTTATTCATATTTGATTTGAATATAGAATATTTCAATATAAAAATCAAAATTAGAAATTGTAAAAATTACATATTATCATAATATATAATGTTTGTCAGATCTGCAAGATATGCCTTTTCGACTTTCCCTTCACCTTTAGTCTCAGTGCAATATTTGAAATAAAATCTCAATAAAGTCAAAGTCTTAGGTAAAGCAAAGGCTGAAAATAGATTGTTCATGGTACCTTCCTCAAATGAATCGCAATGCAGAGTTAGAATACAAAAAATCACACATTCCTGGAGCAATCCGTTTTGATATCGATGCAAACAGCCTCTAAGAAACTAGTTTACCTCACATGCTTCCAAAAACAGAAGATTTTGAAAGGTATATGATACAACTAAGAAAGGTCTGTATCTGACATGGGAATTAGTAATAAAGATCAGATAGTAGTTTATGATGGAATGAATATCTTTTCGGCTGCAAGAGCATATTGGTAATTCAGATACTTTGGACACAAAGATATAGCAGTCTTAGATGGCGGATTTCCTGCTTGGGTTCGAGAGAATTGTGCAGTTTCTGATGCTCCACCCTTGATAAAGGAAGCCAAGTATAAAGCCACTCCTTAAGTTCATATGTTGAGAGAGTTGGATTTCATATTAAAAAATATAGAGAATCAAAATAAAGGGAAGAGAGGAGATCAAGTTTTGGATGCTAGACCTGCTCCTAGATTTAATGGAGAGGTGCCTGAACCCAGACCAGGATTGTCGAGTGGTCATATGCCTTATTCAACTTCGTTACCTTTCAGTCAATTAATTGATTAAAAAACAGGATTGATGAAGACAGTATCATATTTGATTAAAGTGTTAGCCTGAGGAAATCAAAGAGATTCTCAATAGTCTCAATGTTGATGTGAATAGAAACATAGTGTGTTCGTGTGGATCGGGTGTTACAGCTTCAGTGATTTATGTTGCATTGGAAAGGATAGGGTTGAAGAATATCTCATTGTACGATGGAAGTTGGAGTGAGTATGCTGCTACCAAGGATGTGGAGATAAGAAAGAAGTGAATTTATAATATATTTAATAAATTTAATGAGAATATTTAAATAGGCATTCGAGAGTATTCAAGGGAAGAAAGGGGAAGAGGAGAACAAATCTGGTTCAAAAGGAGCCTTTTATGTAGATGAACAATTCATGACACCAGAGTTTCTGTACAAACAGAACAACAAAGAGGTGCAATTAGGACAATAAAAGAAAATAAATTTAACGAAACAATTTTTTTTAACTATGTCTACGATGGAGAGCAAATTCAATTTGTCTCCAATCAAACAAATAAATATGGTGGATTAATTGGTTGGAATGTATTAGGAATGTGTTCAATAATATGATACTCTTATGGATCCCATTAAATATTATTTCTTAGACAAAATTAAGAATATAGTTTAACAGGCTGACAAGTTTACTTAAAGAGAACCTAGATCGTTATAATCTTCGGAAAGGAAAATGTAAACTATGAATAATAATCAATAGTCAATAACCTACTTAAATAATGAGTAGTGAAGTTAGTTACTTCAAGGATTTCGAGGATTTTAACGATAGGATTGATAAGCCCACTGAGTATGCTACTCCGAAGAACGAAGATCAGTATAAAGAAATCGACAATAAGAAACTTGTCATTCAACTTCAAAATTTGATAGAAGAAGGCAAAAAGAATAAAGAGAATCCAGATATCATCATGAAGAATCACGAATCTCCATAATCTTAATTTAATGATACCAAATAAGCATAAAAAATAGATGAATCATCTACTAAGAAGAGATCACCAAAAATAGAATTCAGAAATGAGAATAATGAAACACCCATTCCGAAATTGTTGCTGAAAGAGGAACATCAAGTCAAATAGAATGTGGTGGAATCACAATTGCAAAATCAATCAAAGTCTATCTAGGATAGATTAATGGCCAGATAAAAAAGTCAAAAGAAAAAAGAAACTTGATAATTTATATTATATATCGAAATGGTACGCTAATTTAAGCGCCATAATATATAAATTAATGAAAAAGAAAAGACAAATACCTCAAGATGATTTATAAAATAACAAGAAACAGCCCAACGCTTATGAAGATTTAGAAAACACTCAAAGCAATGTGTCTGAACTCATTAAAAAAATGAAATTCAGAGAGCTGGAGGAATTTGAGATCCAATAGTTTATCGCTTCTCATGACGAATAAAAGTTTCTGATGATTACTGGTCAACCTGGATGCGGCAAAACTATGCTCCTAACTAAATGTCTCAAGCAATGGCAGAATAACTACACTACTATCTATATAAATGCTATGCAATGTAAAAATTATACAGAGTTTTTAAACATTTGTAAAAAGCAATTGAATGTTAAAAGCTCCACTGCCAAATAATAAACACGCAAAGTCATTATGGATAGACTCAAAGAGTTGAATACGTATTATATTTAATAAACAATAGGATCATCACAATTGATGAGTTTGACAATTTATTTAAAGTGAGTGAAAAAGAAGCCTTTGATTTATTTTCCCTGTCCAAACATGCCATCATTATTGGCATTAGTAATGACATAGAGTTCCTTTAAACCTAATCAGTGAGATATAAATTTTAGCTCCCTTAATTTAAAAATTTAATTTTGAAGCCTTACACCATCCAATAGTTACAAGAACTGGTTTTAGACATCCTAAAATAAATAGAAATATAGTAAATATGTGTATCTATATAGAAAATACGATGAAAAAGCCATCAAAATACTAACAACCAGAGCCTATAATGACAAGGGAGGAGACATGAGAAATATAATAGACATTGTGAAAAGGACCTTAAGAGACAAAGAAGAATTTACAACAGATGCTGTCAACTAAGAAATAGGAATGAGTGTGTTTGATAACAAAATGAAGGGTGTTGTCACCACTCTGACTTTACATTAGTAATTAATACTATTAGGGATCATTGCCTTATTAAAAAAGGACTCTATTCAACTTGAAATAGATTTACCCGATCTCATAAGAAAGGTTAACGAAATTAAGTATAAACTGAGTTTGCCCTTGAGTGTGGATGTAGAGGAGGAAATTAATTTATTAAAAGATTATAACCTACTTACTACAAAGGAGGCGAAACAATAAAAAATGGGCTTTAAAATCACAGTAAAAAAGATTCTATGTAAATTTACAGCAGAGGAATTGAAATATTAATTATCTGATCTAGATGCATTTAAAAACATTTTACAATAATTATGAATATATTTGATAATAAATCCTCCCAGCAGAATCTCGAAGTCTTTTGCAAGCCAAAGTATAGGAAAAGAACATACAAACAAGAGAGCAAATACAAAGTCTATTGTTTATCGAAAACCTATAAAACTCTAAAGCCGAGTCATTCGTTTCAGCAATTAAAATAAGTCTTATTTGAAGAAAGATCGATGAATCTCAGTTGCCATTGTCATGAATGCGGTGGCAATATTCGTAAGAAACTATTAGTGAAGAATGAAAACGATATAGATCAAAAGGGACTGGATAATCAACTATTTGGCTAGCGGATTAAAACTGAACCAGTCCTTGGACATTAACAACTTGGAATCAAAAGAAAGACCTTCTACTATCCTCGAGTATCTAATATTACTAGATTGGGAGTTTCAAATCCTTTGAATTTTCAGGATATCTTTGATAAGAAGCTGTCATTGAAATTTGCTGCCCCTCTTACTAGTAGATACAAATCTCCAGAAAACAAGAAATAAAGAACTTTATCCCAAAGAATCCAGAACACTTATTTCAAAAATATTGATTAAAAATTGAAAAACAGTACCAAGAAATGATATGTTTAATACATGTGTAAATTAAAATTTATTAAATTCCATTTCAATTTAATGTTATTTTCACAATTTTAGAAAAAGAGTATAAATTTGAGTTCATAATTAATTTATTAATAACCTAAAATATTTATCAAATTAAAGTGTCGACCTTAGTTTTCTTCTTCTTGTAACAGTAATATCCTGTTCCCAAGATTAGACAGCCTCCGAATATACCCAAGGCTACCCAAACTCCTGTATGGCCACTAGTAGTAGTATTATCGTGATCGTCATCATCATTACCACCAGGTCCTTGAATAGTTATGGGTATTTAATCAAATGAAAAATCGTTTTTAACTCTAATATACCCAGAGGATTTATCAAATTTTCCGTCAAGCAATAGTTGTGGAGATGAATTAATCTTATACAATGCTAATTAGTCAATATGCTCTGAATTGGTAATGTAATACAACTAATTATAAATATATAATAATACTTAGTTTTCGTATGAGTACAATTCCTCTTAAATGTAATTTCTTGAATAATAGTATGCAGGTCTTAAAGCGGCAAAAAAGATTACTGCTGTATGGGTAGCCTAGACCTTAGGTAGTTAATAGATTGTCTAAACCAATTTCACTCTGCCAGAGTCTGTATAGGAAATTTAAATGAAATTGTTAACAATTCTAACTTTTGCGAATATGTACTCCAAGAGTTCGAATGATCCATAGCCTTGTAAAACAAAAACAATCTTCTTTGATTGCAAATTGCATTGGTCAGCAGTACAAGCAAACTCAACGTGTACTCCATAATGAGGACCAACAGTGGCAAATAGAATAAAGTCTGCTTTGTATGATGTATCAGTAGTCACAACATTAATTGTTTTGATGCAAGAGTAAATGGTTCCACTAAGTTAATAGAAGTTTTCATTGATAAAATCGTATAAATTGAAAGTAATTTTGTTGGTTCTCTAAATTTGATTCTGTTTTATGCTATATTCAAGTGTAATAAATGCATAATTATGATCAGTGCAATATACGTGATAGTGATTCTTCTTAATTTTTTAAATAGTTAATCCATACTAGTAATTATCCAAATCTGTAACACTTACTTTACCGTAATTTTAAGCTTTGGATAAGTCTAGAATATCTTTGGAGTACGCCAAGATCTCCTGTCTTTAAATAATAAAGATATTTTCAGTATCTATGTATCCTGATATGATGTCACCATTAATTTATAGCCAAGAACTACCTATTTTACATTTGGTATTTTCACATTGTATTCCACCAATATACTATAATTTATCTTTAACACATTAAATCAAGACCTAGGAATCAAAACTTGCTATGACATCTTCGCATAAATAATCTGCAGTTATTTTCTCAGTGACTACAACTTCATTTGTCTTTTTACTAATAAGAACATAGGAATCATTTTTCAGAACAAAAATATAGTTTGTACTGAAATCAATTGCATTCATAGAATTATTTAGATAATATGGTTTTACAACTTCAATAGGATTTATTATTTCTGCTTTTTGATCTTTAAATTGAGGTAAATACAATTCAAATTAGGTGACCTCTCCTGAAAACCAATCATTACCCATATCTTATATATAATTGTGTTCTTGATTGGAAGTTAAATTAGTTGTTATGTTTAATTTATCCTAACTAATCTTCAAATCAATATAGATGTTAACCAATCTGAAATTTCTATTAACCAATAACAGTTATTCATTTGAGTATACTATAGTATATTCTTGATCAGAAATGAAATTGCTGTCATCAAAACTAACTGAATAGGACACGTAAGGATATCTTTAGATATAATATACCCAAACATTGTCCTTACTAAATTATAATATTGTATTCTAAGTTGCTGTCACAAATTGATTGGCTGGATCCCAATCTTATACACAATATAATGAATTGTGATCAGTCAAATCAACAATATATGATAAGATAACAGATTTGAATTCTGATTTTGCTTTGACATGCAACAAATTATTATAAGCAACCCAAAAGAATGAGTCAAAACTTTCAATCTAATAGTCATAAAAAGATGGAGTTTTCTCAAGATAGATATTTGTAGGATCTTATCTATTGTATATTTGGAATGTAAATTTCCCCTTAAGCTCTGCTATTAAAGGATGCCAAATCGATTATAAAAACTAATAACCCTGATGTCCTAAGATTGTGAAATAGGCATTTGATAACCAAAAGAGAAATCTGTTTTAGTTAAATTCAAGATCAGAAGTTGATTCTATGCTTATCCATTAACAACAAATAATTGTTGGTCGAAGTCATTTGAAAATAATCTTTATGGATCCCAATCAGCAAATCCTAAATTGCTTAATTTTTCAGAGTTTATAACGTAAAGGAAATCAACGTACTGAAAATTATACACACTAATAGTTTTGGCTGCTTTAGAAAATAAGAGTAAATACCAATAACTCAAGTAAATGCTATCTATGCTTTTGATTTAGTCCTCATCCTTAAGTGTAATAGTTCGGTTGAAATATGAGTTTGACTAATATTTATAAAAGAACAATGTTTTCTCATTTAATAGTGTGATGAATGTAAATTAATAATAATAGTATTGGATAAGAGTGTTTTCCTTAGTAATTTCAAAGTCCAACTTAGCCTAATAGGACAATTAACAAATTTCAGCTGTAAAAGTTAAGCAACTATATATAGCCAATTCTTTTTGTTTATTCTAGGTGATTATTGCAAAAGGCTAATCAAAAGATTAAGCCATAGAAACAGTTTAAAGGAAGATTAAGTCGGTTAAACTCAAGTTTTTATTTGTATACTTATCAAATGTATCTCCCTAAACTCCAATATAAGTCATATTTCCACCACTTTTTTGATCATTTTTAGTATTCTATTAAAAACTAATATGTTGTTTTGGACCAGATACTAATTATCTGGGACGGATATTGTAATTATTTTAGAATATTTTTTATGAGAAAAATGGAGAATCTTAAATATTTCCCTTTGATACTAGTACCAAATCGACAGATTTTGCTGGGACTGTCTAATAATCTATAGTGACTTAACAGCCATTGAGAATTAGTTTTGCATTTCCAGTTATGCCTTGCTCATTATTATGATACTAAATTCTATAGTGAGGGTTACTTATATAATGTTTGATATTTTTATTGGTGAAGACTAAGAAGTCATTTTAATTCTAATCTGTCAATACATTGCTGAAATCGCCTAATGCAATTTAATTTACATATAAATATTTATCAAATGCTATTATTTGAGTGGGGGAAGTTAAAAATATAAAATTATTGCTGAAATGAAGTTTCGAATTTGATATGTCTTCTAATGAATCATAACTTCTATGGTTTTGTATGATAGATTGTTTTTATACGATTGCAAATTCGTTATTATTGAATTAATAATCAAACGAAATAGATTCTCCTAAGAGATATCCCTATTGATTAAGTTCGATTGTATCATTTGAGGAGTAGTATTTGAGTAAAAATACATTTCCAGTCTTGTCTAAAATAGCAATTTAATCAGATGGACTAATTTTGGCATCAACCATATCAAAGGAATATTCGGTAATATTCACATTTTATTGAATTAACTCTTAGTTAATGGTTTTTTAAAGTTTTATGTCTTTTTTCTCTAAATCATAAGTAAACAATTCAATAATTGCTGGATTATTATTAGTTTTCAAAGTAACTCTATATATATAGTTCTAAGTGCTTACAATGTATCTTTATTAATTTTTTTCATAAGGATACGCATTTTCGATTTTTAATTATTATTAAGCATCATTTTCGCTAATCATATAAAAATAATTTTATGGCTCTTATTCATTAACTTAATAGCAATCTATTAGTAGATGAGTTATATCTAAAATAGTTGAAGATTGGCAAATAACTTGGTCAGTCTTTCCAAGTAAAATTGTTTTATCAAAGGTTGGGTATCTCTATTACGTACCTGCAACAATTTTTTCTGTCCATGATATAATTTATTCATCTTGATTTCTAATAGCTAGGAGTTGAAATTTATTCATCCATTAACTTTGAGTAGTCAACACAGAGTATGATAACACTTTATCGACTAAAATATATTTTAGTTAATATAATACCATTGGGAACCGATTCGCTATTAGTTTTTAGATCAATCGGTGGTAGCAAAGTAAGCTTGTTATTTTGATCTGTTAATATGAGGATGTCGTCGTATTTAACTTAACTAAAATACTCCCATATATCCTAAACAATTATTTCGTTCTCCTTTCCCACTATCTTGGTGTAATCACTTGGAAATAAAGAGCAATCTTTGGCTATGCTCTGAAGAATACAACTCAATAATGTAATGTAAATCATTTTAGATTTAAAATTCAATATATATAACTATATTCACATGAGCACTTATATATCACTTTAAATCCATATATCTGTTGTATATAGAGTTATTGAATATTATTTTTGCTTAATCCATATAGAAAATTAATTTATTTTACATAACCTTGAATGTGTATCTGTATTTCTATTTTCAAAATTATAGTCACAAATTAAAAATAATTACATTAAACCAACAGAAGAAACGATCGTGGTTCTCATCATCTATCCAAAATCAAGTTGTCATTATGGTAGGAGCCCTTGAAAATTAATTGTTCAAAATTAGACACCTATTTTTTTATATAAAAGTGAATTACATCATCTAAAAAGTTAAGTAGTAGCATTTATAATCTCAAATAAAAATACAAACATAATCAACTCTTCTTGATTATATTCACAATACTGATGGTGATTTAATTGGATAAATCAGTTTTTGACCCTCTAATCCAGTTGGTAAAAGTACCATTAATAAATGTTAAAAAAAAATGAGTGAAATCAACTTTATCAAGAATTTTGTACTATTCTGTTTAGTTTCATTTCTAAAATGTGAAATCAAACATAATTGATTACTACTTTGAGAGATTAATTATTTTTAGAAAATATTATGCCATCGAAAGAGCTGATCATTTTAAGGGTGGAGAACACTGAAACTAATTGGTCAAATGAACTATAATTCTTAATAATTTAGGAATATTTAGTGTGATTCATAAATACTTCAATTTTTATTTTAACAATTAGCTATTATTTATTATTTATTTATTTAACTCTCATATATGATCTAATCGTTTATATCAATATATGATAAGACTTTTTGAAAATGAGTGGCGAGTTCTTTATTTCAGTTTCTCAAAAAATTCTATATAAATTTGTATAAATGATAATGTATGTTAAATAAATAATTTTAGATGAATATTGTGAATTCGTTTTTGTGAATATTATTTTAAATGAAAGCTGTGATTTTATTAGTTTTGGCTTTGGGTGCCTTTGCATTCACTGAGTAAATGATGTCTTTGGAAGAATTAGCAAATTTTAACGTTAAAACAATGGATTGCTAACGATCTGATCAATTCTCATTTATTGAAAAATAAATGAAGCAATGGGAAGATTTGTTAATCCATCAAAAAGCCATTTCTCATGATATCAAGATCCTTGAATAAATGGAAAAAATGCTATCAACAAAGCATCATTCTTTCTTAGAAGCATAAGTCTCCGTCTCAGGAAAGAAATTGCTAAAGAAATTACACAAATTAGAATTGCCACTTACAAAAAGCAAAATTGGTCTAAGCCAAGTCAAGGCCTTAAGAGAATAATGCCATGCCTTAGATTCTGAAAGTATTTAAATAAAATAGTTATAATAGATCATGAAGATAGAACAGCTGCTAAAAAAGAATTATGCAAATTATTGAGAGAATACATTAGCAGTCTTAATAATTGCAAATAATAATGCAGAAGCACTCCCATTACAGTCATCAAGATCAAAGGATAAATTAAAGATCTCGAAATCATAAGAGGAGGATGTACAAGTAATGGATCTGAAACAGGTGTTAAGGTAACATCTTAAGATGATGAAACTCATGAAATCACCATTCATCATCATCATAAAGGTAAAACAACAACTGAAACTACTTCAGCTGCAGGTGCAAGCAAGTCAAAATCAGAAAGTACTTCAGATGCTGGCGAAAGTCATACAGCAGCAGAAAGTGGTTCAGATGCAAGCTCAAGCCATTCAGGATCAGAAAGCAGTTCAGCTGCTTCAGGAGCAGAATCATAGGCAGAATCACATGAAAGTTCATCAAGTTCAGACTCATCTGCAAATGAATAAACTTAAACTACAGAGGAAGGAGAAGAAGTGACAGAAGAAACAACTGAAACAGGTGAAGAAACCACTGAAGCAAGTTAAGAAACCACTGAAACAGGTTAAGAAACCGTTGAAACAGGTGAAGAAACAACTGAAACAGGAGAAGAAACTACAGAAGAGTTTACAGAGGAGGTAACAGAAGAGACAACAGAAGTTATAGAACAACCAGAAGTTACAGATTGATTAAGTAATCAAAATATTAAAATAATATATATCATCGTTTTTATAATTGTAATACCAACTATTCTAAGTTTTCAAGCTTTTAAGATTATTTATTTAATATTCCAATCTAAATCAGCATTATTATTATTAAAAGAAATATGGATAATAAATAAAGTAATTCTGACTTTCTGCCTTAATAAAATTAAGTTTGAGAAGTAGTTTACTTCGATTATTGAGTTTGACTAGTTTACATTATTTTGCTTAAAATATTATCATCTAACTTTTTAGAACTAAAAAATAAAATAGAATAAGTACTCTTCATATTCATGATTGATGTTGGATGTTTATGACTTTTAAGATTTCGCCATGGCTTCTAATTTAATTTTCACATTGTTTATCCATTTTTCATAATCATCCTTTAACCCAGACATTGTTTTACTCATAATCGTGCCTTTCATCATTGTGGATTTTGTAAATACAACTGAAGCAAATATCTTCAATAAACATTTATTATCTTCCAACTATGAGACTTCCCACTTCTCTTCTGCTTAAAAACAATTTCCATAAGGAACATCTAAAGTATGAGTAGTACAAGTATAAATTAATTTATCAGCCTCTTTCTTATAGGTAAAAAGTTTATGCATTCTACTTTTATCTTTAAAAGGAACTCCAGTTAACTTAATAACATTTTTCATTTCTCTCTAAAACATTTATGGATTATCTTCCACAGGTGTCCATTTAGTTAATTAAATATCAGTATCCTTTTCTGATTGTCTATGATCTGCAATTGAATAGACAAGTGCGTCATCTGCAAGAAAGAATTCAAAAAATTTGTCCTGACTAAAGGAAAATGTGAATTTGCACATCTCTTAATCCATAGATGCTCCAGATTAGAGGAATTGGATTTCTACTTCCGCATTTTCAATTTAAGATTCATCTTCTCTAGCACTATCTGTAGTAGATTAGAATGTCTATTAATTTGACAATGGCTAACCAGATATTAATGCATTCATTAGATTATATACTTATTCTTTGTCATGAAAACCATTGAAGCAGAAAGCTTTGCCATCCTTCAAACTTATATCAATATCATTCTTATTTTTACTATCCAACTTAGCAATATCATCCAATTTAATCACCAAATTCGTTTTGCTTCCTGCAAGATTGGCATAAAAACAAATGTGATTTTCAGCTATAAAGATTCTTCCATATTTTGAAATTAATCCTTTTAAAGCGCAAGAGTAATCTTAGAATATTATTTCTCCTTTGGGCAATCCAAATAATTAAATCAACAGATCCTTAGCTGACATTTAGAAAATAATAATAAATAATAATATTATTGTAATCATAATTCGCTATTTCTTGAATAGATATTAAGAAATATAGAAAATTGTTGTATATTAAATTAGTCTTTTATTATGAATAATTAATTGTTGAGCATATTTAGTATTTCTATATTATTACATAATCATTCCTTTTCTAAAATAATTAACTACTCTCCAGTTGAATCATTGAAGATCTCCTAAATTAACATGTCTTTTTTATCGAATAAAGAGAGCTTAGGAAAATTTTAGATTAAATCAACATCTGCTTTGGGATTAAGAAAGAGCTAATCATCTTGGCACATTACAAAATCAAAAATAAACTAAGTTAGAATTGTAATTACCTATATCTTATCAGTGAAATTAAAGTTTCTGGTAATAACCTTATCAAAAAATCTTAATTAAATGGTTATACAATTTTCTTTTGGTTCTTAAGGTAAATCTGAGAGTAATTTAGCCTTTAAAAATTAGCGTTATTCCTAAATATACGATTTAAGTAATACTTCTTCTTCTTATTGTTCATGTATAAGTTATTCCTATCTTAATTTTTCATCATTAATCTTCTTCTTTTTTTCATCTGCTTGTTGCAGGGCCATCATATATTCAAGATCCTACTTTTATAATAATTCCTCCCTTTCCCTTTATTCAATTTCTTATTATCTTCTTACTTCCATGTCCAATTGTTTTTATCTAAATCTATCAATTTAATTTTAATGAATTTATTCAGGACTATCAACCAATCTTTTGGCTAATTTCTCCTATGCACTAATCTTACTAATATTAGATCTTATTGTTTTTATTTCAACGGCCAGTTCCTCGAAATTAGTTTAAGGAAATAACTTGATTTATTTGACTAAACAAACTTCATCGATAAAATTTATTCTATATATTAGAATAGATGGAATTTCAATATTTTAGGTAGGTAACTAAGCTAAGGTATCCTTATTAGCTATAAAAGCGTAGCTGAGGAAGTATCTATTCACTATTGATACGAGAGATTTGCATTAAAACATTGCTTGTAAGATTTTCAAGCATGAAACATCATGGACATATACAAAAAGTGGAAGCATTCTGTCTTAAGCTATTTTAATGTTATCTTGAAATGAACCCAAATCGAATTTGATTTCTATCTTTACCTTTTTTGATTGTATGTGTTTCTAGAAATCTTCTCCGTAATTTTAATTTTTAGTAACTATCAAAATAAGAAATCATTAATACACAGAGCCTTAGCTATTTTCCAAACTCCGGTGACCAATCCAGGATCTTCATCAATTTTACTCTCTTTATAATTCTTATATTTTTAAACTAATTCTTAAGTTGTTTAAGACTATTCTAGCTCAAAGTTCTCTTGGATTTATCTTCTTTATCTCTGTGGAGGTTGTGACTCTTATTAACTTACCTTTTGAGTGGGAGCTACAAATTATTATGATTGTATTTCTATCTCAAAAAATAATTAAATTGCACTCTTATAAATAAATAAAACCACATTTTTACTTCTAACTCAAAATTAGCCATTTGTAAATAATTTAAGCATTTCTCCTGATCCTAACATCCTGTAATATTAGAAAAATTTCCCATTAATTGTTCATGTTATTACATGTGTTTATATTCTTTTTTATTAATAATTAATTAAAAATGGCATAATAGCTGCCAAAAATATAGGAAAGATTAAATTAAACAATTGAAAATCCATTTTATGTTCCCGATGAATACGAAATCTTCAAGATGAAAGAAAAAGAAAAATAAATCAAAATGGAAGAAAGGATCAAGTTTCAAAATCTCAGAGTTCATGAAAAAGGCATAAAATCTATTGGAAAATTGAGTATCAGGGAAATTAATGATATTGGCAAAGAAGAAGATAAGAATGACAAGGAATACAATGCAAAGATGTATTGATATGATTGATTTAAGAAACATTATTGATGCTGCTGACAATGCTGTTAAGAATAGAGTTCGATAGAAAGAACCTATGTATCAATTCATAGATAAGAAAAGAGAAATGTTGTTATTTTAGATGTTGATAGATCATAAAAGAGGTATGATTGATGAATTTGAGAAATTGACCAAGTTACATAGATTAGGTTTGGAAAAAAGTGAGTCACTCATAGAAGAAGATGTCGAATTATTTAATAAATTTTTGGAGCAAAATAAGATGAGTTCAAGAGAAGCTATAAAGGAAGCAGAAAAAGAGACAAAATCGAAACAAGAAAAAAACAACGAAATCAAATCTTTATAAGAACATAGAACAGATTTAATGACTAAAATCCAATAGAAAATAGATAATTTAGAAGACCTCTTAAAATACAAAAAGTTTTTAGATAAGATTACTCCTAAGGAATTTCAAATGAAGTAAAAACAACCGAAATAATAATAATAGTAATAATAAGTTTTGTTATCCAGAAATAATTAAAATAATTAAATCAATAATGAATTACAATAATTATTGAATGATTCAGATGATGAATAAGTGACATATTTCACTTAACCAAAATAATTGGAAGAAATATTCTAATAATTAGAAGAAAAGAACTTGTTCCTTATTGGGAATACAAAAGAAAGAGAATAAATGGTAGAAGATCTCAGAAACAAATATTAAATAAAGATTAAAACCTTAGAAGACAAATTAAAAACTGCTTTACAAACAAAAAATGACTTTCTTAAATAAATTGATTAAGTTAATGACTAAATCAAAGTACTAAAAGCAATTAGAAGCGATAGTGAAGTGTTTGAACCATTAAAGAATCTAGAAAACTAAATAGCTAAGATATATAGGAGTGATGTTAATGTTGAACCAAGAAAAGATATTACAGGAATTGAAATGCTTAAGGAGACTGAAAAACTATTAGAATAGAGAATAAATGATTTGAAGATGTTTAGATAGATAGCTCCTGAGTTGGTATTAGAAAAAGAAAAGAATTGCATAAAAGCTAGAAAAGATATCGTTAAGTAAATGAAATAAGAGCAAGACCTGTTAGATCAATAGAAAAAGTAAAAGGAGCAATAAAAAGAATAAATTGTTCATAAAAGAACCGGAAGACCAATAATGGTTAGATCATGGCCAGCTTAAGTTTAAGTAGAGGAGTAAGTAGTCGATGATATTACAGAAGAGGAAAAAGAGAGATTAAAATATTTTGAATAATGAATATTATTAAGATAATTAATTTCAGATCTTTTAATATTTGATAATATTCTCATTCTTCTATCTAATTTGTTAATTTAACAATTTGATGATTCCATTTTATATGACGTTTTAAGGATTTCATATGGTGATACTTTTTATCGCACTATTGACAATTAAATATATTATCATCTTTTGACACTTTAACAACTTTATTAGAATACATTTATGGTTTGAAGTAATTTGTTCCTTTTCTGGTTTAACTTAAACAGTTTTGTTTTTCTTTCTTTTGATCTTAATTAGAAATTTGTATTTCCAGTTATTGCTTCACATTACTTTCAGATTTGTTTAGGATTGATTTAGGAGAATCTACCTTAAAAGGTGATTTTATTTGGCTTGGTGATTGAGACTCTGAATGGCATTTGACTTATTTTAATAATTCTTATTTCTCCAATGACAATTTATAACAAATTGTAACCAACTTACTTACATCTGCAAAATATCTAACAAGTGAGATTTAGTCTTCCATCTTTAGATTGTTTTTAATACATAAATCTTGATTTAATTTGCTATTCAAGACTCTTGAAATCCTTTGAATATTTAGAACTAATTGAATTCTTTCATCGATTACCTAATCAAATTAGATTTCATTCTTAGAGTAATTAATTGTTTAATGTTCTTGAATTCTCATTCCTTTAATTAATAATAATTGAGTATTTTCAGGATTATTAAGATGGTGAATGAGTATTTCAGAACTTAGAAATTATAAACTATATTATTAAATTTTGTGTGTATATATAATATATTTATATATTTCAAAATGGCTATGGCAGAAAAGTTTCCCAAAGAATAGGAATTATATAGAGTAATCTCATAATGCGCGTACAGAAATCAGTAGAATTAATTTATAATCAATAATCTAGTTCTTAGGTTGCTACTGATGCTGCTAATATTTTATACAATTACCCAAAATTATTCAATCCCCTAATCACATAGACAAGTACATAATTATTTAAAATAAAGGTGAAAACGGCGTAATCAAACAATTATTGGAACTTAAAGGAGAGTGTATAAATTCATTTCATCATTAGTGCCCATTAAATATAAAGGATCAACTTACTCTATTATTACATCCATCTAATTTCCTTTTATCTATTCAGATGCTCCAGCTGTAATCAGAATTTATAATCCTGACATATCCAAATTTTCTGTCAATCAATATTTCATCTAAGGTGCTTCCTAAGATCAATCTGTTGTAAATATCCACAACACCGAATTACAAAGTTGGTATCAACATAGGTCAATTGTAAATATAACTCTTTATAATAAGGCAAGAGTGATGGTCGCTTTAGTTAGAGAATTAGAAGGCCATTTCCCTTTCTTCAACCGAGCATAATAAAATTCAATGTAATTATACATGCAATCTATTAGGGCTGTTCAATAACCGCCAAATGCTTAAGCCCCATATTAATACTAAAATCAGCCGCAATAATACTACTAAAATTAAACCCAAGGCTACAATTATTAATATTAAAACAACCCTCCTAATTATTATAATAATCAAACACAACCTTATAACCCATATGCTACTCAATAACAATAACCGTATGCTCCTCAATAATAATAGCCGTAGGCTCCAGGATATTATTAATAGAGTAACATATAAACTCAAGTTGAATACAAACTAAAGGAGAAATGTAATTAAAGTAAAATTTTAGTTCATTCATTTAGTATTAAGCGATGATTTAAATTAAATTTAAAATGATTTCAAAATTTTGCATTAACATCATGATAGATTAATCGATGAAGTCACAAAATAGGAAACCAAAAAAATGTACTTATAAAATCTAGAAAATTAAATCGAATAATCTATATAGTAATTAGAAAACGAAAATAAAAAATTGAGTGAGTTTGTTGATAAAAATGACGTATTAGAGTATAAATTGTATGCATCTTAGGTTAAACGAAGAAACTCTCTTTTAGAATATTAGAGAAAATGATCAATTCTCAACCTCAATCTTAGAATTGTATTCAGATATTCAAGCATGCAGAGAAACATTGCATTTCATAGTAACCAAATTTAAGAATTTCAATCTACCATTTGAAACAGTTATTAAAGTAAATCAATATAGCTAAAATCTATTAGATGACTCGTAAATATTCAGAAGAGTAATTCAATAATATTTTATTATTAAAGAAGTATACATCACCAACAAAAAAATTATGATAATTATAAATTAGTAATAAATCTATAAGAATATTTATTTGAATGTTAAGGAAATACTCTAATTACAAAACATATCATAATTATTTTTTTTTATATTTCTTATCGAAAACAATAGGATTCGACTATTTATCATTTAGATCATAAGGCTGAATTTAATTTGTTATCTCATAGTGATTGATACTAAGGAAATGCATTTATAATCGTATTCTGCTCTAGGTCTTATTCAATATTGGTTGTATATTTTGTACGAATTCTAAGCTATAATTTAATAAAAATAGATTATTTAAACTATCATATATAGAATCAATAATTTTTAAATTAAAAAGATAAAATATTAGAATGTCCCAATTTACATACATTACAATTGCTAGTTTTTTTTTATTGTATGTTACCCTTGCTTTGATCATTCATTTAGATTGTTTGTAGAAATTATTTCAGGAATAATCATGTAAATGATATTAAATTTTTTAATGCTATATGAAATTTATTAAAATCTTCATTTCGATGATTAAGTTTTTCCTCTCTCCTATAAACTATTAAATAAGAAATTAAAAGTATAATTTGCTCTTATTCTTAGTTATATTATTCTAAATCTAAATAGTTCGAGATTATGTTAACAATTTGTTTATTTTCACATTAACCTTATTTATAATCTTTTTAAGGCTGATTCAAGACAAGTTTAAGAGTGAGATTGCCAATAATGCAAACTTGTAATTATTTATTAAACCTATTGAAATTATTACATTTCACTAAAAAAGTAAAATTAGAATTGAATCAAGAATTTCATACAAATAAAATTCATATGTTATCCTTGTATAAGTAAACATATGTGATTGTCATATTTGTGACTAATTCAAAAATGAAAATATATCATATATAAAAAATCATAATAAACTGAATTGAATACGTAAAATGTAAATAAAGAACTTATTACGAAGTTCATTGTTTAATTTATCAATTTAAAAATCAAAAGATTGATGGGTCTGGCTTGTTCAAATAAAAGAAAAATCAATTTAGTGCTTCAAGAATAAGGAAAGCAGGAGGATTCAAAACTACCATTCCCCACATCTTTTAAATAAGAAATTTTACATCAAAGAGATTCTGATATAGAAAATCTACTCAAACTAATTGAATTAATTGATACACAAGATGCTTATTCGAAGTTTTTATTATAAAATTTGAATGAGTTAATAATAAGGCGGTCAAACATTTTATTTTTGAGTCATAAATAAATATCAGCCATTAATGATCATCTCAGTTATTGTGTTATGATAATCAGAGGACTTCAAGGGAATGAAGAATTTGAACATTACTTTCCAATTCTATCGTATTCTTTATATGATATGTGTTCGAGATTGGAGGTTTATCTAAGGAAATAATCAAATGAATCAACCAGATATTGTTCTTTATAGAGAATAACGTGATGCTGAAATTTATATATTTAATATTTAGTTAGTTAATTAATATTAAAAAAAGTGAAAAAAAATTTTAGATATGAATTAACCTTTAATAAGCAAATAGAACTTTGATGGACTATTATAGAAGGCTTCGTAACTGATTGGTTAGGCAAAGGAATTAAATGATGACATTCAGTCCTCAGATTAGACCCAATTTGAGAAAATGAAGGAAATCATTGAGAATGCAAGAGTGGCTTAATTAAATTTGGGGGAACAACTGGAAGAAGTAATGTAACAACTAGATAAAATTGCAAAAGTAAATGAATGAATTTAAATAGATATCAGAATAAAAGAAAAAAATAAAGCAACTAAGGGATCTCTATGGAAAAGAAATAAATAGATACAAATAGATATAGAAAAATTTAATAGAAGAAGGGTATGAAATAAGAAGGCAAACTCTTCACAGAAGATCCACTTAAACATAACAATATAAACCAAATGTTATGCAATCGACAGTCACTCTTAAGCAATCTTAAATCGAATAGAAACAATTTGATGATTTAGTTGAAATATCTTAATTGGAAATTGATAATGCAGTTATTAAAGAAAAGTATAATAATGTTATATAATCTACAGACAAGAGGAAATAGATACTATTGAAAAGGATGCTTTGCTTCTCAACAGAATAGTTAATGATATGAGCACAGAAGTAAATAAATAAGGCAATTAACTTAATGAAGTCGAGATGAATATGACAACTGTGCAAGACAATTTGAAGGTGACTGTCAAAGAATTAGATGGAGCTAAATTTGAACAGAAGAAGAGATTAAAGAAATACCTTTTTTTGGGACTTATAGTGTTAGTTCTCTTATTAATAGTTGGTGGACTTATTGCATGGTGGAGAATTGAGGTTAATAGGAATCGAGAAAAAAATAAAGATGACAATAATGATGATGAGAAGAATGTTGTTAATACTACAATGAGTTTATTAATCAAACTAATCAATGTATGATGTAATTTATAATTATCATTAAATTAATAATTGTCTCATCATTTAATTGAACTCCAATAAAGACAAACTTCCATCTTGATTACTATCAACTTCAGTCATGATTTCCGACCAGGGGTTTTCTGTTTCTGCGTTGCAAACCTTAAATGTATCTTAAAGTTCTTCAACTGAAATGTTACCTGACCCATTCTAAAATAATTTAGTTATATCTTTATACTCGATCTATCAATTTAAAAGCAGTCTCTATCTTACTCTTTTGCAACATAGTTTATCTGTCAACACTTCTGGTCAAAAACGTAGAGTATGTTAGTGGATGCTAACATATTTTATTTATTTGTTAATGAACAAAACTTTAATCATAATATTTCAGCATAACAGCCTGCAACTCATCTTAATCCAATACTCCATCTAATTTTGTATCTATATGCATGAAGACTACTCTCAATTCAGAAAGCTCTTCTCTTGTGGCTAAAAATTGCACCATCAATTTTAGAGTAGCTTCCTATAACCTTGAAGATGCTTAAAATGTAGCCAAATTCGTAACCACTCTCTTAATCAATCCATCAAAAACCTTTAATTCATAATTTTTTAATATCCATATATCATTTAATGCCATCTCCGCAGTCATTCTCCTATTGGGATCCTTTTATAACAATTTTACAATCAGATTCTTAGCCTCCTCTGAAGTATTATCCCATTCAGGATCATCAAACTCCACTTCATGTCTTATAACACTCTTTATAATCAACTCATCTGTCTTTCCTCGGAATGGAGGATATCCACATAAAAGCAGATACAATATTACTCCTATTGCCCATATATCAACACCACTATGATAATTCCCTAATATTAATTCTGGAGCTTGGAAATATGGATGATTAGGTTAACTAGTCATTTTGTGATCCATTTTGCTACAACTTCCAAAATCAATCAAAATAGGCAGGGAATCCTCTGAATTTCTATCAAACAGTATGTTCTCCAACTTTATTTCCCTGTGACAAATTTACTTTTTATGACAATAATTTATAGTGTAAAGTAGCACATATATAATTTTTGCAGCCTAAGTTTCAGTGAATACCCTTTATTTATCAATGTGGTCTATAAGTTCTCCTCCAGAATAATATTCTGTTATTATATAATGAAATCTGTCATCAGAAAAATATTCATTCACTCTTACAATATTAGGATGATCCAACAGTTCTAAAGTATTTATTTCATTTATGATCTTCCCTTCTATTTTATTTGATACATTTTTCTAGATTATTTTAACTGCTCTCATAATTCCTGTCTTTTTATTTATAATTTTTCTAATTTCACTATATTTTCCTTTACCAATAGGAGGGGTTAGAAAAGAGTATTCTTTGCTCACCCTTCCAGCTTTTCTGATTAATACTTCTATTTGATTTCTATTTTCAATTACTAAAATAAATGAAGGTTTTACTTAGACAATCCAACATCTTTTCATTATGTTCTTTGTTATATTAATTTTCAGTTTATTTATTGCCCATAAAATATAGATAAAAATAATTAAATATAAAACAATTCTTCCTCATCCTCTTCTAACCTTAAACCCCTATTACATCTAAATGAGATGTACACATAATTAATATAGGATTTAAGTATTAGAAATACAGAAATACCTCTGATATATTTTGATTAATTAAATCATAATTATTTCATATTACATTAAATTTTATATACTATAAAATAGTTAAGATAAAAATATAAGAAATAACATTTATTATATAAAAATCTATATTCTAAATGTTATTAAATTTAGAAATATTGTTGAATGAAGAAATATGTTGAAACATGGAAATATCTACTAATTAGATGATTAATCTGATGTGATGATACAGATCAGTTAAGTTGGAAAGAAAGAAACTTCAGGTTCAAATTTAATGTATTATTTGCAAATGGTATATATTTGTAAATTTCAACCAGTTTAGAGAGTATTGCGATGTTGCGTCAATATTGCAAAAAGTGGCCATGTATGAATGGTAAAAATGCAATCTGGATGAGACCAAAAGATTATTATAAAAATAGGTGATAAAAAACAATAATAAAAACTAAAATCTTCAAAATAAAATTATTTGATCATTTTATAAGTCATATATGTTTATTTGTGAAAATGCTTTAGTTTTCAGTTTTTTATATATTGCATTATTTATTTAGTTTTTTATTTGATGATCTTTATGCCAGGTGAACCCTCAACAGATCCTAGAAACTGAGGTATTGTTTTTTTTTATTTTTCGCTAGTGTAAGACATAATCAATACTAATATTCAAACTCTTTTTTTCTCGGATCTGTTTTAAATGCCAGGTTTAATTATTTGAGATATTGAATTATCTTCTCTTCTATAATACATAATGGGCTTTGTTTTTAATGAATTTTGGGGAGGAGGTCTTCTAAAGATTCAACTGATCCTTCACTTAGTTATTCTGTGGAGCTTATGTCGTCATCAAAACCATCTTCTACCGGACTTCTCAAGTCTAAGGTGATGTTTTAGGATAATTAAAAATGCATAACAAATAAATATATATACATTTTATAAAATCATCTAAATGTTGTATCATTTTAGTATTAAATTTGTAACTATTATATAACAATAAAAATCATCAAAATTGCACTTTCTTAGGTTTAACGCTGTCCAGCCATGTGGATTTTTTAATTAGTCTTCTGGACTTTTTAGTTTTAAGCTTTAAATAGTTTTTATTGACTTCGATATTTCTCTGTAAAACATTCGTGATATTATCCTGCGGGTTAAAATGTTCAAATTCTTTCTGTTTATCTAGATAGGATACAACATCAGGCTTGATGATATTTAAATATTCATTATAAAGTATTTAATCTGGATAATTTTTGAATTCAATTTATTCTGACGACCTATACGAGAGTATTTTGAACATCTAGATGAGATTCTGAGAATCACTATCCGATGACTCATTACTTTCAGCAATAACCTATCTGATCGAGGCTCTGACACCGTTTCTTCTTTTAATTATTTTTGGCTCTTCTTTGGACTACGCAATTTTAACTGATCTGTTTTCCATATTCAATTCAGCATTTCGCAATCGAACGAAATCGTATTTCTATACAAATTCTTCATTAATTGATTCCTTTTAGAAATAGTTTTCGTCAACTGCAAAAGATAGTACACCCTCCTGGACACTCAATTTGTCATTAAAGGTTTGCTATAATAAGTTAAATGCTAAATTAATACATATTGTATTCTGTTTTCTCGGATGAAATTGGAGCGATCCTACTTAACTTAATATATCTTCTTAATTATCTATTTTGAATTGGGAGTATAAAATAAGACATTGCATTTCTCTAATTAGTGAGTCTATTTGCAAATATCACATTCTATCAAAGGACATTCATTCAACCTTATGCTCTGTTGTAACTTTTTAAATTTCTCCCAATCTTTGGGATAGGACACTAATAATTATTGAAGTTCTTATAAATTGATTTAGACTATTCTTGTGAATGTTTTCGATTTAATTGTATAGGGGATCGGCGATTAAGTGAAGAAGTAATTCATAGCAATGCTTTAAGATGAATCCAATCTGCGAATCTGAGAGAGCTTATTTTGTTTATTTTTATTAAACTCAATGATAATGTCCGCATAGCCTTCTATGATGAATGATAGTTCATTCACTTGATCGCCTTTAAACAGAAACCTTTCTTCGGGGATCAAGAGCCGTTCATGCATGATTAAGCAAATCTTATTTATAAACTCTTCACTAAAGGTTTTAAAAATTAAAGGTTGCTTCATTAAGTATTTCTTATAGAAGTCTATTTTAACTTCCTTCCTTAAATCTTCAGTTAATTACTGCATTAGGACTTCACATTCCTGATCCCTGTTTTCCTCTATTTAAAAATAATACTCAAAGAACTTCCTGACTCTGATCTCTAACTCCTTATTCAAACCTCTCTTTTGGATAAACGAAGTTATCATGCTCATCCGATGTCTTTGAGTCTTCTTCAACTCAGTGATATTATTGAAAATCTATCCTATGTTTGAGATGGTGAATCCAAATACTATCGAACTTAATAATGCCACTAGAATTACATAAGCCCTCTCTATATTAGTGGTCGGTAGAATATCTCCATATCCTATTGTTAAGGTAGTCACTGAACCCCAATACAGTGCCGTAACATATTATTATTACCAAGATACGTCTTGTATATGGTTGATCTATATCCAAGTATTCTAGACTCCATCACTTATTTCAGTTTTGGCTATTAAGAAAAAGAGACAAGCAAAGATGTGGGACGAATATAGAAATATACTCATTAATTTAATGACGTCAATGTAGGTCCCATAGTTTTTACGCATATTGTAATTTTCCTCAAAAAATAGTAATATGTCCACTAATGCATTCAATCTAAGCAATATGAAGAAGTTCATAAAGTAACTTTGATCAAAATTGAAGATCAGAGGGACCATACTCAGACAATCTAAAATGCAACTATTTTTTAAGTAATGTTTTGCTATTTCTTTTCTTTAAGACTTCAATACTCCAGAGTCATAATATGCTGTGTTGAATTGAAGTATTATATGAATGAGAAATAAATAATCTGGTAACATCAATAATATTACTTCTGCTTCTGGCCATTCTATATTGAAACTCATATTCATAGGCAAATACGTCACATTGATGATTAGCATTATTGAAAGGATGAAATCAAAAATTAGTTTGAAACTGTTATTAGGATTTATTGTGTGACTAAATAATGTATATTTGTAGCCAGTCTTTATTTTATTTAGAAAGTTATTAGCATTGAACCAGTATCTTATTTTGTCCTTATATTATCAAATTAATACCATATATGTCAAGTTACTATTAACATAATTCTGATTTGCGTAGAATCGGTAATATGCAGATTGATCATTCAAGGCTTTAAAATTTTGATGAGTGAGCTTTCTAAATTGATATGAATGTAGATTCGCCAACATCTTTCTAATGAATGTAAATATTCTTATGGTGATGATTAGTCCATTTTTCTTCCATATCATATTATTCTTAAAACTCTGCATTTCATACATTGAGTATTTATTTTTAAATTAAAAAAATGAAATAATGGGTACAAAATATGGTAAAGACATATAAACAAATGAATAAGCCAGATGACAAATTTAACATCAAAAAGTTTTCGAGTCTTTAATATCCACAATGTCCTTTTGGAGGTGATCACAGTGGAGAAGCTATGAGTTTGATTTGTCTGGAAAAAGATTGTTTACAAAGCCAAATTTTATGTTGTTGTATTTGTTAAGAAGAATTTCATAAGGGACATCAATTAAAACCATTAAAACTCTTGTTGTGTGAATATGATTAATAATTGAGGTATTTTCTTTTATAACATTTTAGAGAGTATTAAAATATCTCTTTAAAATAAAGCGAGAAGGATATCCTAATCAAGAAGATTAATGAATAAGAAGAAAAACAATTGATATACATTTAAGAGTTTAAAGAACAAATCAACAATAAATTATCTAAAATTGTCACCTTAGAAAAGGAATTCTTCGAAAATTTACGCAAATTTGTGAAAATGAGAGATTTCAGCACTGGCAATCAATGTAATTATCCACATTAATGAGATCCAGATGCAGTCATTGAAACAATCATTTAAAATCAAACTAATGTTGAAATGCTGAGTAGCTCAGTCAAGAATTTGCTTGATGCTTTAGTTGTATAGGAAATTCCAGAAAAAGATCTCAATTACGAAGAAATCAATAGAATTTTCGATTTTCATATGAAGGATCAAAAGGATCACCTATCATAATTGGAAAAACAATTTAATTAAGGCATATAGTAGTAGATAGATCTCTTATAATCAAAGACATAAGCAACAATATTCTAGAAATCTTATCTTTTCTAATTTCTACCAAACAACAAACATCCCTAGGTTGATATAATACAGCCAAAGATTGTAAAAGGTATATTCTATATATATGTGTGTTTAAAGCAAGCAACTCAAATCATGGATACAAGTTCGCAGTGATGACTCCATCTTTAGACAAAAATCAGACAACTGTTTTTGGGTTCAAATTGAATGTAAGATTATGATTCCTAAACAATATCTAGTTTGTTCATTAAAGCAATTGGATCGCAGTTGGAGTATGTGATTTATCAATAGTGTAAAGCAAGTAATTCGGATTTGCATTTCAATCACTTGGACATGGTGCATACATGGTGTCATCAAATGGCGGTGTTTGGTCCAGTACTACTTCTAATCTAAATAATGTGGTTAAATGCTTCAAGTTTGGAAAGGGGGATGTCATTGTTTGCACTTTTGACCCAAAAAACGAAACCATTACATTCCATAAACAAAAGGTTAAATGTTATTCTATGTCAGTCTAGCACAACATTCAAACTTGACATTCCGAAATCCGATCATGAGTTTTATCCTTGTGTTTTATTTTATTATGCGTTGGATGAAGTGGAATTCATACCCCCAGAAGGAATAAATAAATAATGAGTATTTATTTAGATTTTATTATTTATATTTAAAAATTATGGATAATCTTTACACTTAAGAAATTCGATAGAGATACAATTCCTCCATGACTTACTAGGAATATTTGGATGCTTATGATAAACCACCTCCTAAACCTCATATTAAGTATTTGTTTTAAAAATACAAAGACCAAAAGAGTCTCCCTTAATGCTTGATCCCTTGAGCCTTGAGCCTCCAAAAGGGCCAAAAATACAATAATAAAAACTGACTGTTTACTCTCCAGAGGATGTCATTTTCGAAGAATCAGAAACTGATGAGAAACCAAGAGCTGCTAATCATATTCCTTGTTAAAAAGCACTCATAGAGCATGTATACAAAAAACTAATATTAAGGATATTAGAATCAGGAGTTAGAGCGAGAACCTCGGATTTTCCGTATTTAGATTTTTGTCATCAAAGAAGAATAAAGTCCCATGATCCAATTATTTTCATATAATAATTTTTTTCTTTTAACACTTTCCCTGTAATGATGATATATGCCTATCTTATAATATTTTTGTAGAAATTCTTGTTGCTTAAATATTAACAAATCATTTGATTTGTAATACTTAAAGCAAGTACAATTTAATTGAAAAACAGAATTCAGAACCAAATCATGGCTAGATTTGTCAGTCAGTCAACAATAATAACGTTTTAGTTTTGAGACTTGGTTTCTTAGTTTCATCACATTTATAAATTATTTATCTTACATTCACTTTTACTAATTAACTAATAACTAAGTAATTATTAAGTTTTATGGATAAGGGATTATCAAATATGTCTATTGAAACAATAAGCTAACCCGAAATAGTAGAAGGAAAACCCTAAAAGATTCTTGTGGATAAAGCTACCCAGACAGATGAAGTGAAATTTGTGAAAGTTTAAAAGATTAATTTCGGGTCATTAATATTTTTATTGTTGGGGGTCGTCATTTCATTTGTGATCTACGTGGATATACAAGGCAAACTTAACATCCAGTAATAGCAACTGGAGTAAAAGCGAAAAGTTCATAAATCATTTAATTTAGGGATGTATTTTAGATTATGAGAAATAAAAATGTTTTCTACAATTGCCGGCATAAAAGATCTTTTGCAGAGAATTGGAATTATGTATAAATGTGGATTGGGAATTGCAAAGAGGAATCGAATTGAGTGGGATCATAGCTGATATGTTGAACAATTTCATCGATCGAATAAATCTAAGAGTAAATATGTCTATACTATTTATAGACTTATTTTCTATTGATAATTCCATTTATAGCTATATCCTTAGGAATAATAAAAATAATCTTTAAATGATTAATGAATATAACTATTATACTTTAGCAAATATTATAGGTCTTCATTTTTTACCATAGTCTTAATTCTAAACTAAATTGTAATAAAATAGTCAATATCTTTTTTTAATTCTTAAGGATATATATATATATCTTAGACACTTAAAATATTATGCAAAATGCCATATTGGTTAAATTTTTGTGTAAATATTATTTTTCAATGGTGATTTAATTCATTTTATTAATTAAATGGGAGATAAATCATCGTCATTCATTACACTTCTGATCACTGCCATGATTCTCTCGGGAGCAGCTAATACAATAGGTACTAGTTTGATGATGTATATCATTAGTCTATAAATTATAAAATACAAGTAAAGTTACAGTTGATGGATGGGCTGCATCAAATTTCAACCATCCCTTTATGCAAGCAGTCACTATGTTTTTGGGTGAGTCTTTGTGCATATTACTATTTTTGAATATCAAGAAGAAGCCAGATTACAAATAAGGATGTATTGAAGCAGCAGCTAAAGGGTATATATAGAAATTTTATGTATAATAGGTTGAAAACAAAAGTCAATTACGGTTGGGTGGCTATTCCAGCCATGTGTGATTTAACTGCCTCGACATTGGCTTATATATCCTTGAATTACATCCCCCCATCCATTTATCAGATGTTGAGAGGAGGAGCAATCATCTCAACTGCAATTATGTCCACATGTTTCTTAAAGAGACATATTAAAAAGTACTAATGGTTTGGATGCTTTTTCGTCTTGGTGGGTATTACTTTAGTGGGAATGAGTTCATTTTTATTTCCACCCAAGAAGGACAACAATGATGATTCGGATTCAAAATCTGAAATTGGAGCTGCCTATTTTATATCAGTTGGATTATTGTTATTATCAGTTGTGATGAACGGACTCTAATTTGTGTCTGAGGAGAAACTCTTTGATGTTTACTATTTGCATCCTTTTGAAATCGTAGGCATTGAAGGATTGTGGGGTTTTTCAGTCTACATAGTTTTGGCAATAGCATTGACTTTTATCTAATGTCCAGGTTCTATGGAAAATAGCTGCATCTAAAAAAGAATGACAGATATGTTTTACTTTGAAAGGGCTGATTTGTACTTCTTGCAAATCTTTGCTAATGGCTTATTACTCTTCTGGGTTATTTTGGGTATATTCACAATAGCTACATTCAATATCTGCGGTGTTTCAGTTACTAAGTATGTGTCTTCCTTGGCCAGGTAAAGATTCTTTTGATTAATTAGATCCCTTGTCGATGTTTCAAGAACATTAATCATTTGGGCTGTTTCATTGGCTATCACTTGGATAGATCCAGAGGCCAAATGGGAGAACACAAGATGGGAGGCTATTGTTCTAGAATTACTTGGGTTCTTTGTTTTAGTTACTGGAAATCTAATCTACAATGGAACCATCAAGTTGAAGTTTCTAGATGAAGGCTCTTAAGGTAAAATATCTCCTCTATATTTTCAGTCGATCCATTAAATGATGCTACTTAACAATTTCTGGATAGTAAAAATGGTCAATCATTATAGCCTCAATGAAGTATTATTTAATATTGTATAATTATTTATCGTTTATTAATTTTTGCAACATTTTATTCTTAAAGAATACATAATTATTAAAACAACTAAATTTATTTCACTATTAATTTTTTTAATTCCTTTTTGTCAAGAAATGCATTAATTGGTCAAAACAGGGAAATCCAAAAGCTTTAAAGATTATTCCATCTTAAAAAAAGCCTCTTCCACTTCTAAAATTATTGAATAAGGCCAGAGTGCATTTCTCAAACAACAAAGTTTCGAAGTTAGAACATCAAGGAAAAAAAGTTCAATACTTTTGAAGGATATTATTGATTAATCGATATTAATTGAAAATATTAAAAGTATTCAAAAGTAATTACTGTACTTTATATATAAATAGTCCAAATTTACACTTAGGAATGAATTTATTATAATTAAAAATTTGGGAAAGAATCTAAAAATGTAACTAATAACAAATAGTATACTTATATCTATATTCATTTAGGATGAATACAGCAATGTAGCAATCATAGTTTTGAAACCAGATTACGAATATGAGTTCAACTTTTCAATCTCTAAGTTTTCATGTTTCAATACCATCAAACAATTATCTGAGTATTTGGCAAAATAATTTCATGATCTTACAAAAAACAGTATAGCATATTTATATATCTATTTAAGAATTAGATGAACCTTACCTATCCATGCTTATTGGTAAAATAAAAACTCAAAGGTTAGATGGAGATATGAGATTATTTGAATTACTTAACATCATTATGAATGGTAGAAAACTATTAGTTCTTTAAAGTTAAATCTAATGAAATTTCAAATTATTTGATTTATTCACATTTCCTAATTTATGGAAATTTTCAATTATTATTATTGCATTTAAGTAAATTCTCAAAGAACTCTAATGTGTTTAGAAATGTGTTATAGTATTTGTTTCACTAGTATAATTATATTTTTAATTTGTTTTTACTTATAAGAAAATATCACTGTAACTAAATTTTGGTTTACTATTTTTAGGATCTCTCTGCTCAATTGTATTTTCTCACTTCTTTAGTATTTCACTTATGTTTTCAATTTGAAAACTTGATTGCATGAGTAAATCTTCTTAAGAAGTAATTTATAAAATAATACATTATTTATAATAACTAAAATCAAAAGTGTTAATAAGATTCATCAAAATAATGCAAACTATTTTTTCTGTGACTTGTTTCCATTTAGTCATAAAATGAATGATCACTATATTATATTACAGTTTCTATTTGACTATTAGTGCTGATTGATCCATGTACGAAAGTCTCTTATTTATCTGCGATTTATCTCATTCTATCCAAATGAGTTGAGTGTTTTGAGCTACATGGTGTTTTAAGCTGATTAAGGGTAAATTCTATAAGCTATGGATCATATGATGATTGAGCTAAGGCAATAATTGATTTAGGACAAAGTGATAAATTACTAAATGGATTATAGTTTTCTTTTTAAGATAATTCATATTGTTGTCCTCTTTTTGAAATTTTGACTTTGGTTGACATTTGCAAATATGGATATTTTGCTTTAATTAACAGATTAATTTTATTAATAAATTTTTATTTAGTACCTCTAATTTAGAAATGATTTTTTTCACAAGATTTTGATTTTAAGATAAGCACTTCAATAAAACAGGGATCTCAATTACAGTATATGAATTTGTATAAAACTTTAATATTTGTTGCCTATTTCAAATCTTTGTCATTTTGTTAATGATTTGACATAAAAATCAATCTGATTAGTTTACTGAAATCAGGATTTTAAACTCATAGACATTTATTTTGTTGAATGAATAGGGTTTAATTCAGAATTCTTTGATTAATAAATAAAGCATGGTTCATTATTATTAAGGTTTCTTGTGATTAATTAATTAATAAAATCAGTAATATACAGTATTTTCATACGTACAGAATTATAATTAGGTAATAGGGGAGACAGATTTGATTGAGTTATTCGAATGAAGTTGGATTGCAAGGGAAAGCGTATCTTTAAACTACTATAATTTTTGATTAATTAATTTTATTGCTAAAATGTATAACAAATTGTCTTAGGTTACCACAAAAACAAATTGGGATGATATCAGGAAGGAATAGATGCGATAGATATTGGAGCAAGGTATTTGCATATGAATGATATTATATTAAGGTTCAAATATGACAGATGATGATGTTGTTTATATAAAGCATTGTATTAAGAATTTTAGTGGGCCACCAGCATTTATGTGGTTGGAGAGCAACCTGAAAGGAGATCAAATTAATGAAGTTCATAATTTATAATAACAATAGATTATCAAACATATAAAAATAGCAACAAGTAATGATGGATCGAATCCAATATACTTTGTTTAAGAAGGTATTGTATCAATTGATTATCAGGTGAATTAACATCAAAGACGAGAGTATACAAAAAGGGCGAAGTAGTATCAAATGAAGAAGTCGAATTTGGATAAGGAGCCATTGCATTTTAGGTGGATAGATAATTATACAACTCTTTTAAAAATGTATTCAATAACACAAATTAAATAGAGTGCCGAAATGTAAGAATTGGAAATAAAGTCTCAAAATTTGCAACGTTGCATTCCGATCAGATCTTTAGATATTTAAAAAAAATAGGCCCTGTTGCCATTATTTAAAGAAACCAAAAAAAAGTTTGGCAGCATAATGACAGTTCCAGAAGGAGGAACAGCAAGTTTATACTTTTAGACAAAAGGCACAACATTAATTTTTACTTCCACAAAAAGTCATAACTTCATAATAGTTGGATGTATTCAAAATGTTGGAGTGTTCAATGAATAAAAATTATTATTTGATCAAGGATCTGAGTATGGAAGTATATCTATATGCGAATCAACTGTAAGAAAATACATAATAAATATTAGCTTTATTAATTATAAGCAGAAGATGTAAGTAAAATGCCAGATGATTGTATACAATCTTTGAGAGCAGGTTTTTTGGCTAAGAAAATGATATACAAAACCATAGTGGAAAAAGTTCAATAGATGAAAGAAGATGATGAATTTGTAGAATTCTAGGATAAAATATGTAAGAAATATTCAATTGAGTATGGAAACATTTTAAATGTTATCTAAAAAAATACAAAAAATGGAAAGATTGAATCAACAGATAAACAGGAATAGATTGAAAAAAACAAATAAATGTTCGAAAAAACTATTGGTGGAAATAGAATGAATAATGTGTTAAGTTAAATGAGTGATAAAGAAAGGACTTTATGTTTGGGAACTCCCAGAATTGTTAATAAATAGGCTAACTTCTTGGGTTTGACTTAAGAACAGGAAACCTCATTATTTGCTTTGAGACAACTTGGTATTTCATTTATTTACTATATCTTAAGCCACTGATCTAAGAAAAGGAAACACTAATACCAATTCAATTATTCCAATGTCAAAAGAGTCTGTCACCAAAGCCAAATAAGCTTTGCTCTAAGAAGAGAAAATTAATATTGGAGAAGTGTTATAAAGAAAGACTATCTCTACAAAACTACAAGAGGATCCATCAATGCTCGGAAAAATGAAGAAAGACAATTCTGAGTTGCTATCCTAATACCCTCAAGAAGAAGAGAAGGTCTTAAAAATACATTCGGAAGATACCAACAAGGAAGTCAAACCAACAGATTCAGATGGAAATACTGATTAAGGTGAATTCAAAGGAAGACCATTGGGTAGATAGAGTTCTATTAAAGGACAACAAACTGCACAATAAATTTAAATTGATAAAAAAAATAAATTGCTTTAAAGTTTAGTTTGATGTAAGATTGACATCAATATTTATGTATATCTTTAATAAAAAATTTCAAATTTCAAATTTTGAATTCTTTAAATTTTAATTCCAAAGATGAGAAATGTTTTTAGATTGATTTCAACGAAATTCTATATCTTCCAATATTAATTTATTGATTTAGAGAATCGTATTCAATACATTTTTCAACACACAATTAGTCCTCTTGCAAATGCTAATATAAATATTCTATATACTAAATTACAATTAATTACCTTTAAATTTCTTTTATGCATCCAATTATTCATTACTTTAAAGGTTACTTTGTGGATTGTAATTCTTCAATTCATAAAGAACCTAATCCAACTCTCTTTTTTCATCTTAGGTTTAAGCATTTAACTCATTCTTCTTCGCTCTTATTTCCTCTAATCTCTTAACTGCAGTCAGATAAGTCTCATTTTTTTCCTTCCTTTATTATTGCAAGTAATCAATTTCTTTTTACAAATTATTTTTTTCCTTTTATTTTTATTCTCTTTAGCTCTAAAATCTAATATATTTTTATTGGATTTCTTCTATATAATTTTTTTAGATTTCAGGGTGGAAATTCAAACCATTGAGAAATACCTCAGTAGTATTATACTATTTCATGTTATAATCTAAGACATTAAGAATTCCTTCTAATTTGGCATCATGAATTTCTACTGACTTTTTAGTTTCAGTGGGTTTAAATAATCTGCTCATATTCTTAGCTAATTCTTAATCTCTTTAATATTCCTTAGTTAAATCTTCTTTATCCCCTTATTCCTATAACTGCTATTAAATTAATAGATTCAGTTCAATTATTTATGATTCCAAATTATTTACATCTTAAGCACACTTGTCAAATTGTTTAATTTTACTTTCCAGTGTGATAGTTTCTAATTTACTCAACTCATATTGAGTACATTCCTATTTCAATTACTTTTCTTCAGCAGTTAATCTGTCTAATTAAGTTTTTTTCTAAAATATCGCTTCATTCAATTGTATTTTTTTTTCAAAAAGAACATTATAATTCAATAGAGCATCCTAATTAATAGTATTATTTATTGAGGTTGAATTTATGTCATTCACATATTTTTCTAATTCTTAATTCAATTGTAAATCCAAACATTTATTTACTTTTTCCTCTAAACCAAGATGTTTATCTAATATTTTGTCCAAATTTAAGCGCGAAAAATACTCTAATGCCAAATTCAATTGTGCTAATTCCGATTAAATAGGTAACCAATCTTGTATTGTCTGAATCCCAAATTAATCGCTAGAGTTAAAGTTGATATCATTTTCTAAATAATATTGAATTTCTGATTCTGTCACTTCGGGTTCAAAGCGCTCTGAAATTGTTTTATCCTCCGGTGATTGTCTTCCAAATATGGCAATCAAAACACAAAATGCTAAAAAAGCAATTAAAATGCCTGTTCTATTGGCCAAAACATCAGTTCTTTACATTAAATATTATTTGATTTTAAATTATATTACTTAAAATTTAAATTTTTTAAAATAACAATAAATTAATAAATATTATATGACTATTTTATATTCATCAAATTTATGAATATATGTGGTAGTAACATAATTATAAAATAGTCATTGCAGATTTATAAATTCAAAACCATTTAATTTAGAACATTAATTTTATTCTAATCTTCAATATAAGATAGATTAAATTAGATGCAATAATCTAATAGAATGGCAATGAATAGCTTTTATATTATATAATAAACCAACTTAACTTTTCTAAAAAGATACTTCCATAAACTGTTTACTTTAAAAACTTAATACTTAATTTGATTTTACACTAATTGTTAACTAAATTTCAGTAAGGAAATTCTTCATTTTTTTCTTAGCAACTTGACAACAATAATGTCATCTATTCTATTTATGATATTAGTTTCTAAAATGAAGTAAGATGTCTACTAGATAGCATTTTATCTATAGATTTTCATTTCTCCTTTAATATTCCTGGAAGTGCTATTTTTCAATGATCAATTAATTATGTTTATTTTTAGCATCTTTTTTTTATCAATAAAGATAACTCATTAAATAGCTTATCTTTTTCAATATTAGTCAAAAAATTTGAAAATAAGTTCCTCCATAAATTTACAAATTTTTAAAAATGTTTACATATATATACTACTTATTTATTGAAAATGTGTTTATTCCTTTAAGGCAGGAAGGAGAGTCTAAATGAATAAATTATACTTAAGAAGTTGATGATAAATCAATTAAAGAAAATGGTCTATGGGATTATTAGGCATCAATTTATATATATATTAATAAATTGATAATATAATAATTATTATATTCGTTGATCAGATAATAATTCACTTTAGTTTCTCAAACTTCTATAGCACCTTTTTCTAGAGGGCTTCCATTTCTAATAAATTGTCATTTTCATAATATTATTTAAAATTAAATTGCTGGTTCGTAAGTCTGTCATCAAATTAGAAGGTTTCTTCTAATTTAATGCAGTCTAAAACTCTATCAGCATGAATCCATTATTATCGATTCTTAAATATATATTTTAAATTACTTGATCTTAAGGTTTTGTTTTTTTAAGAGTTTCAATCAATAACTTTGAGTAATCTATCAAGCATTTGACTAATATTTATTGATTGTTCTATTTGAAATTGCTGTTAATAGCTTATTTGATGGCCTCATCCATTTTTGGTCTCTATTGAATTTGAATGCTGATTTTTTCATAGATTGAATCAAAGTAGGATTTGAAAACATCAAATTCTTTTGAAATGTATGTGTGGATATCTTTATAATCCTTACTTTAGGTGAACTATTCCCAAAACCTAGGATGTAAATAACATTAATTATATACTCCAATTGATAATAATTTTATTTGTCTTATAGAATTGTTTTGAGGAAATCAATTAATTGCAACAACTTTTTGACTAACAAGAATCCTGTGACATCATAGTTTTGAATAGCCATATTGTTCATGGCTTCTTCAGCAACAGATGCAAGAAAAACATATATATTTCTTTCATGTAAAATCCTATTGGCATTTCGTTTTTTGGCCTTGATTTCTTTTTCTCTTTATGTTTCCTTATCAGTGACTTCCTCATTTCCAATATCTTAAACTGGTCCTTAAGTGCTCTAAACAGTTTTGGCTGAATCCTATCTGGCAAGATTATTCTCCTCTTAGGGTTTCTTTAATAGTGGTCCAACATATTGTTATTATTGATTCTGAGGTCCCTTTTGAGCTACTTACATGGCGAAATTGTTTAAATCTTCCTTTTTCTTGATTTCAGCTGGATGATCAATGACCATATTGTTTTTGATGTAAAATTTACTCATATTCATCATTAACTCTCCTCCTTTGAGTGTGGTTTCCAGATCTTTCTTTAACTTTTCTTCCTGATAGAAATTGATTTCGTGCTTAAAAAGATCATCCCAAGATATTCTATTTTTAGGATTTACTACAAGCATTTTTCTTAATAGATCCTCTGCAGTAGGAGTTATATTGTTAACCTTCCTATTGATAACAAACTATTTAGTTTATATGTTCTTGAGCAACTCAACCATGTTTGTGGCTGTAAATGGCGATTTCCCGAATAATAGTTCATAAAAACAGGTACCAATTGACCAAATATCTGCTTTACTGTCATATTCTTGATTATTGAGCACTTCTGGAGCCATGTTGAGTGGAGATCCGAGCATGGTGGTGGCTAATCCTTGGTTGTCATTCAAAAGTTTGGAGAATCCAAAATCAGCTATTTTAATATTGCCATCATGCTTTAGGATATTTGCCAATTTGAAGTCTCTGTGCATAATCTTATTCTTCACGAGTGTTTTAAATCCGTTTAGAATTTAAAGCAAGTAATCAACTGCTTCTTCTTCCAGCAAAAATTTCTTTTGTTTAATGTACTCTACATTTAAATGACAATTATTAATACATGAAAGATCACCTTCATTGCAGTATTCCATTATTAGATATATGTTGTTGGCAGTCTTCTTTATATCATATAGCTTTATGATGTTATCATTATTGCAAGTCCTCAGCACTTTTATTTCATTTTCTAACAACTCCGTAAACTTCCCTTTCAGCAGTTCCCTAAATATTTGAAATACTCAACACCTCTTTACGCATTTCACCGCTATGTCCACATTTGTTTGCTTATTATATCCTTTGAACACTTCTCCAAATTGCCCCTTTCCTATACTTCTCTCAAGCACATAGCTATCTACTACTTTTGGCATTTAATTTAAAATATTATTAATGAACCTTAAAATCACAATTAATTAACAAGCCTCAATAAGTGATTCACTAATTATAGCTAATTTAAACTTAATATAATTCTTTAGAGATAATACATTCAATAAGATTGAATGTGATTAATTATTAACACTCAAAGATGCTGTTCAGATCTCATAGATATTAAAAGATCGTAAATTATTAAACCTATAAATAAGAGGGAGTTTTAATATATGAAGGAGAGATCAATGAGTCAGTTATAACATACTTTTAAGCCAGTGGATTATATAATTAAGGTCAAGGGAAATTTATAAAATAAGTATTATAAATTAAGAAACTGAATATTCCACAACAAGAATTCAATAATTGTTATGGAAAATATGATTACATTGAGTAGAAATTCCAAAATCAAATCAATTTTTTCAAATAAGTAGATATCAATGGCAAATAAGAAATTATTGATGAGAACGAATTATTAGATGATGGTGTTTAAGTAAAATAAGTAGAAAGTTGTGCATCTAAGCCTAGAGCATGTGCTAATTGCACTTGTGGAAGAAAAGAAATGGAGTATAAATAAATATGATATTAAATTTAGAGAGAAATAAGATAAAGAATAGTTATTAGAATAATTAAAAAATAATTCAATCAAAGGTTGTGGTAGTTGTTATCTAGGTGATGCGTTTAGATGTGCAAATTGCCCATACAGAGGTATTAATAATATAAAGATTTTAGGATTGCCTGCATTCAAAGATGGAGAATAAGTGAAAGTGTTGTAAGATGATGTATTTTTATAAGAACAGGAAGAGAAAGATTAAGTAAAATTGGAAAATGGAAAAGTCAAATTAAAGATTTGATTTAATTATATTAAGAATCAATAATTCTATTTTTTGAATTAGTAAATTATTCAGTATATTATGATTTCTATTGTAAAACAGCTTGTTGATACCATAGTATATGAAAGTAATTCAATATTATTTGTATAAATTAATCTAAGATAGTAAGTAATCTAAACTAAGTTAAGAATGGCTTATTAGTGATTTTAATGCACATCTGCTAATAATATTTATATCTTTGTGTATCAATATATTATTCTCATCTATATATTTCAAATTACTATGAATTTAATTTGGTATACCTCTACTAAACCTTATAAATCTTTATCTTTTTTTAATGTTATTTTAATAAATTTCTTATCTTACTCTTTTTATAGCATACTTAGTATATATTACGCATCTACTTAGATTCATTATTCTAGTGTTTATTTAGTGAGTTCTGTCTTGATTTATGCAAAATATCTTGGTCATCTGATTTTAAGTTTGATCCTATTGCCTCATTGATTTATGATTAATATTTAATGCGCTAACAACAACAACTACCTAGGTTGTCAGAAGATGAGTAATTTCCAGGTCGTTTGCATACCTAATCTCGAAAATTGAAGTTTGGAAGTACATTGCTCTATTAAATATGAAAATAGCTACTGATAACTTCAATAAGAGGTCCAAGGGACAGAGTCCAATGGCTGAGTCTTAATTCATTAAATAAATTGACACCAAATTAGAGCTATACAATAAGGACATCGAACAACGCAATGACATGATTTTTACCATAGAAAAAGGGTTCGAATCTGTCAGGCAAGAATTGATTAAAGAGAAATTATTAAATGAAGAAAAAACTAAACAATTATAAGACCTGGGATCACAATATCAGGCAGCTCAATCCAAACTCAAGTCAATCCATGAATTCAATAAAAATACAGGACAATAAGGAACTGATAAAGATAGAGACAAAATCCACTAATTGGAAACCGTTTAAAAAGTTATTCTAACAAAAGAACATCAACTGAATTAAACGATAGATTCGCTCAATACCTAATTGAATGATATTACTCACAAAATTAAAACCAAAGAAGAAATGCCAGATGATTCTAAAAAATTGAAAGACTCAATTAGGAAGATCGAAGTATTATAATTCTTATATTTCCAAGGAGAAAAAGTACAAATCATAAGCTATAATGGATGAACTAAAAAAGAATTTAGAATCCATTTAAGCTGAGAAGTTATTAATCAAAAGTCAAATGGATCAATACAAAAAAGAATACCTTGCTAAAGAGGAATGTTTGTCATCTGAATTCCATAATATTTAGAATAAAATTAAGGAATTGTAAAAGGAGAAAAATCAATTACAAGAATAAGTTAAGAAGTAGCCTGTAAATTCTTAGGATTAGAATAATAAATTACAGGAGGCTATCAATTAATTTAAATAACAATTGACTGAACAAAACAAATTAAAAGATGTATTTATTATTCCTTATACCTTAGAAAGAGATAAATCAATGGAAAGCAAATCATGATATCTCCATCAAAAATATTGATCAATTGACTCAATAAATCGAAGATTATAAATTAAAAATTGAATCATCCTCTAAGAATTTAAATGAAAAAACAAATTCTGTAGATTAAATGAATAAATCCATAGCAGAACAAGAAAAAACACTTAAAAATCAATAAGCTGAAATCAAATTGTTAAATTAAAAAATAGATGAATGCAATAAGAAATTAGGTGATTCAAAACCCAAAAACATGTCGCAAGTCATTGAGACTATTACAATTTTGGAAAAAACTCATGTATTCATATTCATTAAACTTTTAGAAAGAAATTTAAAAAGGCCTTGCTTGTACGTTTTGCAATAAATTCATAAAATAACCAGTTACTATTATACCTTGTGGTCATTCCTACTGTTTTGAATGCAAAAAAGGATATTAAAAGGAATGTTCCAAATGCGGACCAAAATTGAAAATTGAAGCAATGTATAGAAACGAATTGTTGGATGATATTATTGAAATGGTGAAATTAGTTGAGTAAAGCATTTTGAACATGAAATAAATTACTTAAAATTAATGAAATACTTCAAATAAATGGACCCAAATTTTCCAAACTCTGCTTAGTATGTATTGATCTGTAGTCAAATTTAAAACCTTTTATTAACTCGTAAATAGTATATACTTATTAAAGAGTAAAGAGTTAACTATAAGAATTACACTAATCGATATATCATTATGTCTTAATCTATTTTGATAACCTTTCTTAAATTATCAACATATCTTGCTGTCTCATCATAATAACTTAACAAGATTTAATAATTTATATTGCTTAAAGATTGTAAAAATAAAGTTCTGATTCTTATCATTATAAATAAACTCAAAAATTCATTTTCTTGCTTTTTAGTAAATTATTTTCTAAACAATTTCTTCTATTTAATTATTCATTTCCTTTTCGAATTTTAAAAATTTGAAGGCTGTTTATTTAAATCTTTCCTAATTTGGTTCATCATTTCTTTCCAACATTCCGTAATATACTTTAAATTCATTTTGCAGATCCTAATATTTTTACTATCTAATTTTACTTTAACAGCATTAACATACTAATCCAAGCGCCTTTGAATTTCTAGTTTTTATTACTATTGCTATTATCGCTATTAATTTAGTGACATTTTAATTAATTAATTAAATAAATATTGAAATGTAGATAAAATATTAAATTAAACTTGATCGGAAGATCACAAAACACAGCAAATTTCACCATTATAGTTATGAAGGTAATTGCTAACTCTTGATTTGACCTGACCCTACTTCATGAGTCTTATAATTTTTCATAAACTCATTTCCGAATAATTTTAGGCATTCATTTTAAAATTTTTCGAACTCTACTACCCTTTGCTATTTTTTTAATGAATCCACTAAAATAAATAACAAGGAAATACATTTATAATATGCTAAATACTTATTAGGTTCAGTTGCCAGATCATATAATTTTATGCATTCATCATATTCCTCTGCTTCCATCTTCAATTTAGCTCTAAACAGTAGAACCGTTTCATCATTCTAATTAATTTAAAAAGCATATTCATTAAATTAAATGGCCTTCTCAACCTATTTTAAATTTGTTAGACATGTACACTAAAATAATGAAAGTTCATACTTTGAGAGAAATTAAATTGCAATTAGTTGGACATTGTTTTAATCCTTTATTTAATTCTATAATGGCATCGTAATAATAAGCTTCAGGGCTCACTTTTACATTTAACATTTGTTAATAATCAATTATAGATTTTTTCTTTAATTCTTCTATTAAATATTCTTTTTCTTTTTTCTCTCTAAATTTGTTAATAACATTATTCTTAATCTTATTAATATCCTCTTCATTATATTCAAATTAAAAATTTATTTTAGATAATTTAGAAATTTTCTGGATTATTTGTATAATTTTGTCTATTTGTTATTGCAAATATGGAGCATAATGATCTTAATCTAGCCTGAAATAAAAGTGAATTTTTTCTTCTTTTTATAGTTCTCTTATTTATTAATACTTTTCACCCTCCATAATAAGTTTTTTAGCATAGTCTACCTAACCTGCTATCAATTTATTGAATTCTGCATTTTTCTCTTAAAAAGTTTTTAGAGTGCTTAACAATTTGTTAATGTTCTCTAATCTATAATGAACTTTTTAGTTAAACTCTTCAATTGTTATTCCTTGATGATTTTAATGATATTCTTCTTCTTAAAAACAACGAAAACAAGCGATTTTTTTTTTTTTGCAGTTACTATCAATGCAAATATATATACATGGCATTTCTTCATGCTAAGCATATTGACATTTAATATTTGGGGAATTTTATTACAATTATTAATAATGCATAAATTTAATTTAATTAATGTGAATATTAAGTCAAGAAAGCAACTCTAAAAGAATAATAATAAGGTTTTTGATATATGCAAAAAGCAAAATTTTAATTATTAATATTTATATTACCGAAAAATGAATTAGAAATCATAAATTCAATTGGATTTCGATTCAGAAGACACTGAAGGATCTGACATCTCTTTCGAAAGTTCTTTTGATGAGTAGTTAGAATAGGAGTTTGAATAGAGTATATTAGACATTACTATTTAAAAGCTTTGCAATAGAAGGGAATAGTTTAATTCAAGGATTAAATGGAAAGAATGATGCAATTGAATCAAGAAATAGGAACAATCAAATTGGAAAAAGCAAATTTCGAGGACGAGGAAGAGTTAAAGAAGTTATTCCCACCTAAGTAATAAGAAAATTTGATATCTCGCAAATCTATATCCAACATATAAATGTAAGAATCGATTAAAGAGCTAGTATGTCCCCAAGACAAAAGAGTTAGAGTGAAAATAAGAACAACTCTTAATGGTATTAGGTCTCGAAGAACATTTTGAACAGTTCCAAAAAAGTAGCATCTCAACCGACTTTGGAAGAATTCCAATAGAGGTTGAATCTGTTTCGGATAAATAATACAAAGAGTGACATCGTAGATTTAATAATAGAAGAGTAGGATAAATTGTTGAAAGACATTCAACAACAAGAAAAAAAGAACAAGGCTATTGAAAATGCTGTTCATGAATCCATTGAGGCTAAGGTTAGAAAGGAAACTGGAGACGTGGGATATGTTTCATTTAGAAAGAAGATCTAGTTTCAATTTCGTATAAGAAAGGCTGAGGAGTTGGCTTAGGAGAAAGTGTTAAAGCAGAAAGAGAAAAAAGAAACTGACATGCATAGATCCCTTTAAATATTTGATCAATTGTTTTTGAATAGAAATTATGATGAGGAGGGTGAAGTGAAAAGTTTGGCTGCTGAGGAATTATACAAGAAAGTAAGGAGGTGCTAAGATGACATTGATGTCAAAAACACCATCATATAATTCATCATTTTGCATAGGAAGAAATAGATAGATGAATATAAGAACAAGCCAACAATCCTGAAACCTACGAAATTTATATCAGAAGACAGCAGAGAATTCTCATTACTTCAACCTAATATGCAATTTCGATAGTAGATGATGCAATAGTAATTAAATAAGGAAGTGTTAGACAAGAGAGATGATTTGGAAGGAGAGAACATTTACTTATTAACCAAGATCAATTAAATATTGGAAGGTAATCTCATGAAATTATGGAAACATAAATTAGGATCTAAAATGTGAACTTATTATTTCTACAATTTAATAAATATTTAACATATAAAATTAAATTAAAAAATTCTTATGAGTGAATACTTTATGCAGTTTTAAAAATTACAAAAAAGGATTTAACTCAGAGAAAAGGCTTCAGATGAAGCTTGGTAAGTACTCTAAGGAGAAGAAAGACAAGATTTATTGAATGGAATTAATTTTTATAATTATAGATTCTTTGCACTTAGAACATTTCCTATTGCCATCGTTGGCATTTTATTGATGACCCCTGTATTGCAAACTAAGAGCAGATTCTTCGCTAAGGAGTTGTCTTTGATTTTTGGATTCAGTGGAGGCATCATCTACGGAGATTATTAAAATAGTGAATATTTTTGGAATAATTATGGTAAAATTATAATGGAAAATACAAATTACAATGATTCTGGATTGTCTTAAGATTAAATGGAGAAAATGAGAAAACTCTATGAAAAAAGCAAGAACTACAAACCTGAAAATAAAACTGATAAAATGTATGAATGATTGCATATCTAAAATATTGAATAATATTAATTTGTTATCAACTTATAAACTCCATCAACTAGATTCATCATGAGAGACATTTGGCTAAGTAGAACTAAACATTTGAACTCCAATCTTGTTTGATCCTTCATATTCATCTTCCTCTTCAAGTGATATCCCCATATTTTCACCTTGTCTTATTCTTTTGTATTTTTAAGCATAAACATCTCCTCCAAATATAAATAGAATTGACACAATTGCTTATAGACCTGCCATTGTATATGAGGATTTTTAGAAACTATCCAATTGGGCTTCATTTGATTAATTCACTAAAAATGCATCATATACGATTCCTCCTATAACAGGTCCTACAAATGTTCCGAGAGAGTAAAAGGAAATAAATAAGCCGCTGGACAAATCAGAAATTGGTAATCTCAATGAAGGATCGCTGTTGAAAAGTTGATTTAGATAATCTATAAATTGAGGAATGGCTGGCAATACGCAAAAAGCATTCGCAACACCAATAAGTGGTAGTCCTATCATAGTCATAAACCATTTATTAGGGAAGATCCCTAAGGGGGCAATAATCAAATCACCTATGCAAGAGCAAAATAACCCAAAGGTTAATACTACTTTTTTGTCTATGCATTGTAATAATTTTGGAACTATGTTAATACATATGATATATGAGATGGTCAGCCATCCTAATAACAAACTAGCCACATCCTCTTCCATATTATAACATTTCATATGAATTGAAAAGATAGGATTTATGAATGTAGTACCTGCTGACATCATTGTCAATAATAAACCCAAACTCCATATTTATCGATTTCTAATTACTCTTTTCGAATTTAGCTATGGTTTCTTATTTATTGAATGATCATCCTCAGGTAAGAATATAGCTGTTGGTATTAAAGCCACGAAAAATATGCCTCCCAATACATAAAATATCATCTAATATCCAAATAATGCATCCAAGGCTGCTCCAATAAAAGGACCACTCATCAAGCCTAAACTTTTGGTTATTCCATATAATATACCCTGTTAAGGTCTCCAAAATAGATATCTTTTTTTAAATAGAATCTGGCCATAATATTGGGATGTAAGCAAATGATATACTACTATAAGCTGCTCGACTTGCTCCTTGTAAAAATCTAGTTACACAAGAGACAGTGACGAACAGCTCTTTGTTAAATGTCATGAAATCTAACAAGCCAAATGCAACCACCACTGCTGATTGAATAACCTATTTTTCATCAATTTATTACTAAGCCTAGTAGCATACATCTTCTTCTTCCCCAATGAGACATTTTCTTACCCATAACCAAAGAAAAAAAAAATGCTCCTATTGGATTCAACCCAAATATATATCCAATTGTAGATACCGAGACATGTGCTTTTTCCTTAGCTAAAGGAGGGTAGAATGGTGCTATCACTGAGACAGCAGCATTAAGGAAAAAGTTTAATACACAAAAGCATATCAGAGGCTTATCAATCTTACTTCTATTAATTCTACCCTTCAACTTTAGTAAGAAATTTTAAATACCAGAGAATCGTCAGAGATATCATAATCTGAATATTCTGTTGCTGCTTTGGCCATAGAATACTTAATTTAATTTATCAAATCAAAATTTATTAAATATAATTATAGCATTTTTGTTTACTATTTTTAACAATCTTAACATCAATCCATTTTATCCAAAAGCCTATTAAATCCTCCTCTTCTATGCATATATTGTCTGTATTTTCGCTTCTGATTTGCTGCCTTAAACACACCCTCCACTGCACTTGCCTTAAATAATTATTTGAATTTACTGTGTGATCCTTTCCTTTCGATGATCCGAAACTTGTAAACCCAAATTTTTTCAATAATTCTTAATTTACCTTTTTCATTTTCTCCTCATAATCTTCTTCATCATCTCCCTCTTCTTCAGGTTAAACATCCTAATTGCCTATTTTATTTTATTCTTCTACCATTATATTCTGATTTTGATCATTACTTTTAACTTATTCTTTATTTATTTCAGCCTCTGAATTTTCAATTTCCTTCTAATCTATAATTTATTTTTCTTGATCACCCTTATTTACAACACAATTCTACGCAACATTATCCACCTACTATTTATTCACAATTTCCTGAACTATAGTCTAATTATCAGTATTATTCTAATTCTTATTATCATTGATCTATTTTTAAGGCTATGTGACTTATTTCTCTTTCTCCTTCTCCTTCTTTAATGATCTTGAACGAGATTATCTTTTTTGTTTTTTTTATTTCTTCTTTCTTTCAAAAATAGATGAGGA